TGCCTTATATAAAGGGGAATATGAATTAATTCAATTTTATGCTCTTCACTTAAGTGAAAACTTAATCCAAGATTTTTAGTGTTCATCTTTAACAGGTCTTCAAGCATCTCTGTCTGGGGTGGTTTTATCTTTTGCCTCAGTGTGGCTGAACTTCCCATGGGAGAGCAGGGATGCTGATCCAGGGTGGACCCCTGAGCAGCAGGGATGGGTTTGTAACACAGCCAGGAGAGCTGGTGTGGAACCTGCCCACCCTTGCCCTGGAAGCTGCTGGTGTCATTCCTCTTGGGTTTTAGTCACTTCTTTGTGAGGCTTCTTATAGTAGAGTTTTTTCCAATTTGGGCATTGTTCCAAAACCCCTCTCTTGGAATAATTAGCTTGCTTTGATTCCTTTTAATTAAATCATGTGGAGTAGGCTGGCTGTGTGTGTGGCACAGTCACAGGTTTCATGTCTTCTCTGCTTTTGGAAACTGGGATGCAGATCTGCTCCAAGAGGCAGCTGCACCCTGGGCTGCTCCCTGGGATTTGGATTAGGAAGAGGCATTGCTGAGGAAGAGGGAAAGCTGCACCTCAGGGTTTGGGATCCACCATGGGCAGGCTTTGCTGATGTGGAGCTGATGGGTTCTGCACTGGGATAACTGGGCTGGGACTGGTTCCTCCAGGAAATCCCCCCCAGCCCTGCTCTGAGGTTCCACAGGGCAGGAAACCTTCCAGTCCCCAGGGCTGTCCATGTCCTGCAGGTGTGGAATCATGGACTTGGCTTGGAGGGGACCTTGCAGACCACCCAGAGCAGCAGCTCAAGAGGGAGCATTGGAACCTCACACACTGCAGCTGAATTGCCTCTGTTTTATTTCTTTTACTCACCACATGCAGTGCCTTGTGTGTGCCACTTGCATTTGGGATTCTTTGTCACCCAGAAGCTGTTTAAAAAAAACCCAATCTCCAGCCAAATAAAGCTTTTATATCTCATTATGGATTCTGGGTAGGAGCATCCTTCTTCTGCAAGGAGGTGTAAAAGGCAGTTTCAGTATAAAATACTGAATGTTGGAGTAGTTTCTTCTGTGGATAAATTTGGAACACATTCAGTAAGGTATCTTAGGGATAAAAGGGGAGTGACTTCAGGATTTGTTCTGCTGAATGAGGAGAGGATGGATGATGTTATAGCTTGTGAAGAGCAGAGGCTCTGGATGCCAGCAGAGACATTTGTCATACATTTTTCATACACTTTGTATCTGCTGGGCCAGGGTTGGGGTTTTGGCGTGGGATCACACACAAGCTGTGGTCTGAGCCTTGTGGAGTCCTTCTGCAACAAAGACTGAGCTCTGGGGCTGCAGGAGAGTGAAAGAGGAAGGCTTGAATTTTATAGCTGTGATGAGAAAATAGGTCTAACCTCATGTTTTCTTAAGGGGAAAAAAATCCATCTCCCTGCTGGCAGAGCCGTGGGGCTCCAGCAGTGCCTGCTGGGCTGGGCAGTGCCAGATGGGAACCTGGCCTGGCTTCCAGAACTTTCCATTGCCACTGAGAGTTAAGCAACATCAGCAACTTCAGTCCCCTGTTCTGTCACCTCTGGCACTCTGCATTCCTTCCTCTTCACGGGACCTGGTCCTGAGCTGAGTTTCCTGGACTCAGCAGCTGGCAGGGTGAGCAGAGCTGAGTCTGGGAGGTGATGAGGAGCCAGTTCTGGTGGCTCAGGTGACAGCCAAGCCCTTTGGCACAGCCATGGAGCTGCTGCAGCCCTGGCTCCTCAGGAAAGGGGTCTCTGCCTGGGGTTTCTCCTCAGTGTCTTGGCCCCATTAAAAATGAAAGGAAAACCTGTCATTAGGTGAAGTTTCCAAAGCAGAGCCACTAATTTGAGCTCAAAATCCAGAGGACTGTGGGAATTTCTGCAGCCAGTGCATCCTGACGTTCCAGAGGGCAGGAGCTGATGAATCCACTGAAGGGGATTTTCCCCTCTGGACAGACTCGTGATGGAGAGGTCACTGCTGGTCCCTGCTCGGCAGTAACACCTGGCTGGTTTCTTTTCCCTTTGAAAGAAGTAAATCTCTTGTGAAACAAACAGACAGTAATGTGGGAGATCATTCTGTGGGATGTCACGGGATGATTGGCACCATGGCTTCAGAGTGGCACCATCTCACTTCCCATTTCAGCATTAAACATGGGAAATGTCCACAGGAAAACCACTTGGTGCTACCCCAGACTGGTTTCTTTTCCTGGTTTGGGTGCCAGAACTCCTTTCTATTGAAACTCCTCCCATTTCCTGCAAATCTGTCAGTGCAGTGTTTTATCAGTTCTGAAGTTCCAACACTGAAAGGTGAAATGTCTTAAAAACTGGCATCCTATCTGTCACAAGTTAACAGGGACAAGGCTGGATAAACCAGTGAGTGTTTCACAGAAATCTGGCGATACACAAGCAAAACTTTTAACTTTGCCTGTGTGAGCAGAATAATGAGAATCTCCTGATCAGGCCGCCAGGTTATTGCTTTGGACAGGAGCTTTCCAGTGAGGCAGGAGGTGATCAGGAGCTCACACTCCCACAGAAGAGCAGCTGCCATCCCCGTCAGGGCTGGGCCAGCTCTGCTGCTCCAGATGCTGTGTGCTGTCTGCAATGGCACAGGGAGCACAGGCTTCTTGCAAACAGCAGCAAATACCTGTCAGCAGCACCTGCTGGTGGCAGCAGGGCAGCCTGGTGTTCAGGGCAAGGCTGACAAAACCAGCAGAAAACAGCCCCAAGTCTGGGCAGTGGCTGTGGCACCTCCAGGAGCTGCTGAGGTGAAGCCCCACAGAGCTCTGGGGCTCCGTTACCTTTTGCCCTCATTAGTGCTGGAAAGCTGTGCTGGGAGCTGGAGGGGAAGGAATCAGCATCTTGACAGGGAAGGAAGAGGAATAACAATGGGAGAAAGAAAAAGACAAAAAAGGCACCACCTGGGCTGGTGTGTTACTCACAGACCTGGTTCTTGTCATAGCTAAAACTCCCACCTGAGTCCTGATCTGGCATCAGGGCTCACACTGTGCTTATTCACAGCTCCCTCCCCTCCTTTCCATTCCCTCGTCCTCGTGTTTCTTCAGGCCCAAATGATCTGTTTGCAGTTTGGAAATTGAGATCTACAGACTTTAGTTGTAGAGTCTGAATCCACCTCCATTAACTGCGAGCTGTGTTTAATATTGATGCTCCAGGGACGTGAGGAGGGATGGAATGAGCCTGTTCTCCTGAGGAAAAAAAAAAGCTGAAATTCCTCAGCACTCTGGTTTGGGTGGCTGGTGAAGCTGCCAGCAGCCAGGCAGGGATTTAAGGGGCACATTTTTGCAAATCAGTGTCTTTATCACTGCTCTGAGTGCAGAGAGGAGGAGGTGGGGGCTCCGTGGGATGATTAATGCAACCTCTTGGCTTTCCTGAGTGCTGAGGTTCCCAGAAAGGATGAGGGTGTCACATCACTGCTTCTTGCTTCATATTTTTCCTCCTTTTGCTTGCTTTTCCTGGGTGTTGCCATCGTTAAATACTGCCATTCATTGTTCCCTCTCCCCCGATGGCTGGAGACTCTGACTGTTAATTGAGCAGCACTATATCTGCTCGTCAGGCTTCTCTGATAAACAATTTAAGTCCTTCATCCTCTTTTCCTGTGACATTTTAAGATTTTATCATATTTGGCTGTCACAGAGAAAAACCTAAAAAGCCCCAAATTCTACAGCCTTGGTTTGGTTTATAAACAAGCTCCCAATGGCAGCTCTTGGAGCGATGTGTTTGTCCTGCTCTTAAATCTGGGTCTTTATTTCACTACATCAGATTGAAGGTTTTTATTGTGATTCTGGGGTTTGAGTCTCTGCAGCTCTGGAGAAGAGAGAAAGAGCCAGGCTTTTGTCTTTCAAAGGACAGTTGAAAGACTTTCTGTTATTATTTGGCCTTACTTCAAAAAATGCACTTTTGAGCGTGACAAACCAGCTCCTACCTGGGTGTCTTGAACTCAGCCAAGCTGAGAGGGGTTTGAAGCATTGGGGTTTTTGCCAGTTTGATTTTTCCTCCATCCCCTAATGTGCCCTGAGTCTGGTGCTCACAGGAATGGTAACGGGGTGTCCAGAGGCACAGCTGGGGGAATGCATCCGTTTTTCCCAAGGCAAAGGACAGTTTCCAAGGGCTCTCCATCACTTTTCCCCTTATTACCAACTGTATGAATGTCAAATTCCTGGGCCTTCTGTGTCCTTTTGTCTCGAGAATGGTGTCAACCTATACAATTTTCTCTCTTCAAGAGAGGGAATTTGTTCAGTTGGAGGTGTAGAGTCTGAATTGGAGGATTAAGTCAGGGGTTACTTGTGAGACTGGCTAATGTTGAAACAGATTTCACCTTCCTCAGGCTTTCTGAATATTAATAATTGAAAAGTGAGTGAGCTGGGGGGGAGCTGGGAGCTGTGCTAAGCCCCCTCCAACCTGTGCTGTTGGTGTGTGTGTCAGTCCCACACAGCAGCAGACACACTTTGTTTATCCAGCCCCACCGCCAATGTTCTGTGTTTCCTTTCCCAAAGCAGCCAGTTCCTACCCACACTGGCATTGATGCCTGGAGGGGGTACCTGGAACAGAGGCTGGACAGAGCTAAAGCAATAAAGCAGGGATTTCTTGAAAGGCCTCAAAGGATACACCTTGGGCAGTACAAGAGCCCAGCCAGGGCTACACCCAAGATGGATGATGGGTCACGAGTTTTCACACTTTGATTTTTGGTCCATTTCCACATTGGGGTTCATTGTCCAATTGCAGCTCCAAGTGATGCAGTCCCACCCTCCCAGTTTGCTCTCCTCCATTCCCTGTTTGCACTTTTTGGGCTGAAGCTGCAGTGGTGTCCTTGGTTCTGGGGCTGCAAAAGGATCGTTCTGTGTCACTGAGCTGTGAGGAGAACTGCTGACACTTTATTTGGAGTTCAGAGTTCTGTACCAATGCAGTGCAGAATCTGGGGAATACAACTTCAGGCACCAGTAGCAGGGGCTGTGAGCAGTGACTGTGTCCCCTGCTGTCCCAGGCCAGGTACAAGCAGAGCCTGGACCCCACGGTGGACGAGGTGAAGAAGCTGTGCACGTCGCTGCGCCGCAACGCCAAGGAGGAGCGCGTGCTGTTCCACTACAACGGGCACGGCGTGCCCCGGCCCACGGTCAACGGAGAGATCTGGGTCTTCAACAAGGTGGGTCTGGGCTGGCACAGGCTGGCAGCCTTCTGGGGAGCACAGCTGGCTGTGAGTCTGACTGCTGGAGGGACCCTAAAGCCCGTCCAGTGCCACCCCTGCCATGGCAGGGACACCTCCTGCTGTCCCAGGGTGTCCAAGCCCTGTCCAGCCTGGCCTTGGGCACTGCCAGGGATCCAGGGGCAGCCACAGCTGCTCTGGGCACCCTGTGCCAGGGCCTGCCCACCCTCACTTGTAGAAATAAGCAGACAGAACTCAGTTTCTTCATGAAGAAAAAGTCTATTTTATATTTACATTGTTTATAAATATAAGTTATTTGGGGGTGTTCGTTGAGATGGAACAAGAGATGGAACAAGAAATTGAGCAAGATCCTTCTTATTTACAGAAAGGAAACTGTGGGCACTTCACTCTGTTGAAGGCCGTTTCGTTGGTTTTAATTTTAATGGATAATTTGGAAAGTTGCACAGAAGCTAAAGCTGTAATAAATTCATAGGAAATTTTAGAAGGTACTGTGTTAAACTTCATTGGTAGCTGGAAGACAAGGAACAGGATCCTTCTTATTTACAGAAAGGGAACTGTGGGCACCTCACTCTGTTGAAGGCAGCTTTGTTGGTTTTAATTTTAATGGATAATTTGGAAAGTTGCACAGAAGCTAAAGCTGTAATAAAATTATGAAGCATCTCGTTAGGCTCAGGCGGGGTAGTGCTGATGGGCTGCAGGGGCTTAATTAGCCATCCTGATTTATTGATGGGGTTTTCAGTTTAAGATGTTTGATGTTAAATTAAAGACAGCTGGTTTGCATCCTTTATCAGTGTTGCAGAAATTTGGGATAAAATTGGCCTATTAAATGCTGTTTGGAGTTGTTAGCACATATCAGAGCTCTAAATAGCTAATACTGAAAACTCTTGGCAAAGTTTTGGGCTGATTTTTTAAAATTTTTTTTTAGAGTTGGATGTTTCAAATAATGCCACAATAAAATCAGCTTGTTGCTTGTGTTGATTTGGGTTCACATCCTCATTATTGATAGATACTGAGATTTGTATTCATTAATAAGTCCAATCTAGGTTTTATTTTGGGCTTTCAGAGTTGGGTTTTGGGGGTGTATTTTATTACCTCAGGTAGGAATGTGCCCTCTGTTGACAGAGTGACAAAACTATCCTTTGTCTCCTTAAAAAGGAAAAAAGCCCAGAAGTTTCTTTCCTTGGTTAGGTAAAAAGCCACCTCATAGGACCTGGGGGACTTCACCTCAAACTTAAGGATGGCCAATTGGACAGGAGCCAAAAAGTCCCACCTGAGCAATTTACTGGAAAAAGAAGAGAACAAAGGAAAAAATGGCTTTTGTGAGGTGTTTTACCAGGAGCAAGAACCTCTTGCACCTGGCTCAATTTTTCTTTGTAAAGAGTTGTGTTATTTTGCCTTTTATTAAAACTTTTCTGTTTCCAACACCACCACAGAAGCCATCCTGCTGATTTTGTGCCTTCTAAGGTAGCTGAGCTATCCTGGCTGTGATATACATCTCCAAAAGCTCATGAGACCTGGCTGGAGGAGACCCCTTTATCAGCCTCACCCAGCTGAGGCCCTGTTCCTTCCCTGGTGACTGCAGTGGTGCTTTCCTCCTGCAGAACTACACCCAGTACATCCCCCTGTCCATCTACGACCTGCAGACCTGGATGGGGAGCCCTTCCATCTTCGTCTACGACTGCTCCAATGCCGGCCTGATTGTCAAGTCCTTCAAGCAGTTTGCACTACAGAGAGAGCAGGAGCTGGAGGTGAGAGCTCAGGCTGCTGGCCTTTACTGAACACAAACGAAGTTTAAGCTTGCTTTGCTGTGTATACACTGAAAAATGTGTTTAAAACTGTCTTGGAAGGCAAATTAATTTGCAAATAACTTTGCCACTCTGATCTTTCTGGTTCAGTTTGCTATCCCATTAAACTTGGAATGATTTTTAATACAAGCACTAATTAAATGTTAATGTTAATAGAATCAATTTGGGCCCTAATGGTCTTTTCTGCTGAGATGAATGCTGAGGTGAACAAGACATCATTATTTTGGTTGCAAAACTCTGGTATCTGGGGCTGTATTTCGATGCAGTTGTGGTTTTGTGCTGTTGAAGTGAATGCGAAAATGTGAAAGACCAAAAACCTGATCCACACAGGGATTGTCCTGGTGGTTCCAGTTCTGCAGAGTGTGGAATGCATTCCCAATGAAAAGCTGTCTTTGGTTGTAAATGGAATTAGTAATAAATTTGTTGGAGCAAATCTGAAATGCAAAGTGGAAGGGAAGAAGTTGGAATGTTTTGTGCAGCCTCCCCCCTGCTGCCTGCAGCTCCCAGGAAAAGGACATTTGTAAAGATTCACTTCTCACACTTCTAGGACACTGGATTAGAAACCCCAAAACTTCAAGGAAGGAATATTAATTAGTCAGGCAACTGAGTGTCACAAATACAACCTCCAAACAGATGTTAGGTGTCCCTGCCTGTCAGTCCTTTCCTTTGGAATTCCAGATTTTGGAGATGCTTTAGGGGGGGCTCTTTGGCAGGTGGAAATTCCAATGTATTAAGAAGACAGTCTGATAGCCTGGGATATACAGATCATTTCATTATACTCTCTTCCATAAAACAATTCCATGTTTTGTAACAATGAGAAACGTCTCATAGTCTCTTGCTTGGGAAGAACACAAAACTGCCAGGCAGGGATCAATAGAATTGGTAGCAGAAGACAAAGAAGGTGGTCTACATGTCCTTCCCCAGGTTTCCCTGACAGCCTGGTACTTACTGGGATATTTTTGGGACCTTTCTCCTTTGTTGATACAATGCTTTCTTCAGCACTTTGGGGTTGGTTTCTCATTCTGTTCCCAAGCAGGTTGAACAGGTCTGACTTCACCTTGCCTTTCCCTGGTTTCTTCACCAAGTTCCTTTTCCCCTTGGCTGGTGCTGAGCTCCAGAAGGGCTTGGAGGCTGCTGTGGGGGGAGCAGCCCCAGGGGACCTCTCTGTGAGGCAGATCCACTGCCCAGGTGGAGTTTGTGCAGGAAAACCTCTGCAAGCCCAGCCAAGGGAGAAGGATGAGCACAAGTGACAAAGTCTTTATTTCAACAAACATTCCATTATTCCATCTTCTCTAGGGTTTGTCATCTCGTGGAATGTGAGGCTACATGGGACAGCTGCTTTAGTGTTGCTGCTCTTGCAGCAGAGGTTAACACTGCCAGTTAATTTGGTTATGAAAATACTTCCAGGGTTATGTGTCTGCTTTTCATTCTGTCCTTAGATTTCATTAACTCCTGGTGCCTGACTGAGGCTGTTGCTCATGGGGAATAGAAAGCAGAGCCCTGCTACCAGACACAGCAGAGTGCTCACGGCGCCATGAAAGCATGAAGGGGAATTCATTTGGAAAATTATAAATTATCCAATTGTTCAAATTCATGAAAAGTGAAGCAAAGCTGCAACTCGTGCTCCAGAGGGGCTGCCAGAGTGATCAGGATAATTGTTCCTCATTTCCCTGCAAGGAGATCAGAGGAGTTTGCTCTTCCTTTAATCTGCCAGAGGGATTCTCACCTCCTGATTCTATATCTTGCCCTAATGAAAAAAATGCAAAATGTTGGAAAGAAACTTTGGTGGCTGAAGTTCACTTTGTTTACCTAGTTCTGAAAGGTGCTGAGAAGATAATTTATATTTTCACTCCCTGAATTATTAGTCTCAGAGATCATATTCTTAGTCAAAATCTTAAATAGGAGAATCCCTGTGCTTTTGGAAAATGGGAATGTTGATCTATAGGGCATTTTTACTTTATAGACTGAGGTCTGGTCTACCAGGTATTTCTGGACTGACTCTGGACTTAGTTGAGTGCTGCTAATGAGATGTGAGTTAAAGCTGTGCTGGTGCTGCCACAGTCACCAAGAGCTCCAGGGAGCACTGGCAGCTCTCCCTGGGGTATTCCCAACCTTCCCTGACTCCCCCCTGGGGAATTGCCTTGTTCTCCGCAGGTGGCTGCCATAAACCCCAACCACCCCCTTGCCCAGATGCCTCTGCCCCCCTCCATGAAGAACTGCATCCAGCTGGCAGCCTGTGAGGCCAACGAGCTGCTGCCCATGATCCCAGACCTGCCTGCAGACCTGTTCACCTCCTGCCTCACCACCCCCATCAAGATCGCGCTGCGCTGGTGAGTGAGGCCCCCCTGCCCCAAGAGCTGCTCCTGACCCACAGCAACCCTGCAGCATTGAACAGCAGGGTTGGAACTGGGCTCTGGGGACAGAGGCTTATTAATGAGAGCTGGAAAGGTGAAAATACTGTTATCTGCTACTTATTGTGTTTTAGTTTCCAGCTCAATATCTAGGTTTGCTCAGATTAAGGGGGTTACTGATGTGGGAATTAAATATCAGCTTCCTCAGAGAGCAGGAATGGTACATAGTGCAATACAGCTCTCTGCAAACTGTCCTTTGCACAAATCACATTCCAAATATTGCAGTTGCTGTAAATAATGCAGGAGCTCTAAACAGTGCTGGAGTGAGAGGAAGGGAGTAATAAACCAGGGAAAGATGTTCTGGAATGACAGCCCAAGTTAATTAGGCAGAAAGTTAGAAAAGGCTGCTCCAGAGAGCAGGAGCTTTCCAAGAGCAGTGTTTTACCCAACACCAAGGACCTGAGTGTGGAGCCCCCGGGGCTCAGAGGCTCCATTCCCAGAGGCTCTTCCAGCTGCTCCTCTCAAGTTTGTGCCTGGTCCAGAATGGAAAAACTTCAGGACATTTTCTGGATGGGCTTTGAACAGGCAGAAGCCCACAGACACTGCAGGTGGTGGTGAGAAATTGTCACCACAGCTCCAAGAGTTACTCACTGCCCTTTGGGGATATTTGTAATAAATCACAATTCTTTAAACTCTTTCTGCTTCACATTAGCAGCAAACTAAGTGAGTTCCTGTGACCAGGCTCTGGTTTGGGTATGTGAAATTCTGTAGGAGAGGTTTTTTGGTGGGTTTTGTTCGTTAGATATGCTAAGAAAGGTTTTTTTGGGATACTGTGATCTGTTCAGGAATTTCCCGTTCCTCATCTCCATGGGAACGTGGCTGAGGGGCTGAGCAGGGCAGGTTCTCCACAGGCTGCACCTGCACGAGCATGGGAGGTTCTCTGAGCTGTGTCTCAGGGTGTTTGACAGGAAAGGTGTTTGTAAAACTGCTCATGGAAGGGTTTAAACACCTCAGCCTCGGCTGGCTGATGCTGGAAGGTGCCAAGGGAGCTCCTGAAAAGTGAAGAATTTCCTCCCATTTCCAGTCCAGTGATTGTGTGGTGTTTACTGCACTCTCAGGAATTTTGTTCTCTGATGAAGGTTATGCTCCTTGGTGTTCCCAGTTGATTGGCATTATTGCAGGTGTGGTTTTATCCATGCAATCCTGTAAATAATAAGAGCTGCTGTGGATCATTGGTTTTTACTGATGTTAAACGCAACAAATGCAAAACCAGACCCTCTGCTGTATTCTGAGAGTTTGATCCAAGCTGTGTTGATGTCCTAAAGCTGTTAACCAAAAATCAACACAGAGACCTTTGCCATTAAAACTTCCCTTTTCCTTCATCTCAGCCCTTTTCCTAAAGCTGACCCAGAACCCTGTGGAACTGCTTTTGAAATACAACATTTGTGCAGTTCCAGTCTGGCACTCTAATGAGGTTTCATATAGGGAATTTATGGGGAAATTAGAGTATGGATAAATGTTGATCCATCCCATGTTGTTCTCTGTAGCAAAGTCACTGAAGGACAAAATCCCTCATCAGCTGGGGCTGCAGCTGCTTCTGTCTGATGCCAGGGAAGTGAAACTGATGCTGGGAAGAGAAGCACAGGTCAGCCAAGCCCTGGGGATGTGGGGCATGGAACTCCTGGTGCCAGGCTGCAGCTCCAGGGCCCTGGAGTGTGTCCTGGCCGTGTGGATGCTGATTGTCCTTGTGTGTAGTGGCTGACGTGTTCCAGACAGATCTGTGGCTATATAAAGCTCCGGGTGAGGCAGGCTGGGAGCTAAGCTGCAGGGATTGTTAATCCTGACAGATCTGGCTGTCGGGAGGCAGGCAGGGGTGTTGAGGAGTGTTTGGAGCCCTGCTTTACGCAGATCCCGGTGCCTCAAGGGCTCAAAGCACAGGCAGCTCCCCCGGAGGCTGAGCTCAGGGCTGACTCATGTGCCTGCTGTGCCATCGCTCCTGGAAGGTGCAAACGGGCTGCAGCCACACACTCAGCTGGCTTCAGGGCCTTGGGGCTGTGAAATCCCATCCATACAGAGGGGTAGGGATCCTGGAAAGGGCTGCAAAACCCCCAAAGGAGCAGAATGCTGGGGAGCTGCTCAGCCTGGGGGGTTCAAAATGTGCACTTTGTCCTCCAGAAGGCACAGCCAGCATGGGAAGGGAATGGGAAAGGAGCAGAGCTGTGCCTGCTGCTGCTCTGTTTAAGGTGTTTTGTGGGGTTTTCCCTAATGTATTCATTTTGCGTTTCTGCTTGAGATTTTGGGGTCAGCTCAGCCAGTCCTCTGTCCCACATTGGTTTAGACAAACTAATCTGGGTTTCCAACTATTCCCATGATACTGAGCACCATTTCCTGTGTTTGTGGGTTTGGGTTGGGAGGGACCTGAAAATCTATCCAGTGCCACCCCCTGCCATGGGCAGGGACACCTCCCACTGTCCCAGGGTGCTCCAAATCCTGTCCAACATTGTCTTTGAGGTTTTACCTGTGTCTTCTCTAATCTGGGAATATTAGCACCTTCCACTGTCCCAGGGTGCTCCAAGCTCTGTCCAAGCTGGCCTGAGACATTTCCAAAGCCACCTTGCTTTGGAGGTAGCAGGTGTCACCCTGCAGAGCTGTACTGCTCCTTTGGGCCTTCCAGGCACCACCAGAAGGGTTAAACTCTCCAGCCTCGTGCCAGGGACCTGGTTCTGCCAGCCTGAGTCTGCCTGGGGCTGTTTAGGAGGGAATTTCCCTGCATGGCTCTGTAATGCACTGTCGTAAGAATTTTATATTTCAGCAGATTGCACAGGGATCCCACTGCAGGCTCCTGGCTTCTTTATGGCTTCTCTTTCTGCTGGATGACGCACACATCAGGAGAGCAGCCTGGGGACCATGAGCTTTCCAGAGCCTGTCCCAGTCCTGGGCTCCAATGGATGCCCCTCAGGCAGGGGATGCCACAGGGAAAGTGGAGCAGTGCTCAGGATCTCAGCAGTGAGCTCTGCATGTCTTGTTTTTAATAAGTAATTGTTCTCCCCTGGATCTGGGGAGAAACCCTTTGGACATGGCTAATGTGGCTCTGGTGAGGGGAGATGGGACTGCTGGGCAGCTGAGCCCTTGGTGTCCCCAGAGTCGGGGCAAACGTCACCTGAGATGCACTGAGGGGTGAATCCCTCCTCAAACAGCAGCAAATGGGCTCCTGAGGGGCTGGGGCACTGGGCTGGGCATGTGGAGCTGTCGGAGGAAGGCATTCTGAGCTGGATTTGCTGGGTTTCCATCCTGGAGCTGTGTTCCCACTGCTGCCCTGTGCTCCCGGGAGGGCTGCAGGAGGGGGCAGCTCCCCCTTCCCACACACTCTGCTTTAGCAGCTCTGGGGATTTTCCAGGCACTGCTGACAGGACTGCATTTCCAGGGCTGCTGTTCCTGGAGTAGTGGGATTTGTAAGGCTGAGGAAATGGAGTCAGCAGTTTTTTTAATGAAATAACGGAGGTGGAAGTGTCTGAACCTGACGTTCCTCCCGTCCCTCCCTCTGCCTTCCCATGCCAGCTCTCCCAGGGAAGCCCAGGCAAGGCTGGTCATTATTCCAGCAGCAAACCCTCCCTGCTGCTCCCCAGAGGCTGTGCTGGATGCTGGCAGCCCTTTTCCCCCTCCACGGTGTGCTGGAACACTTGTCACCCTGACAGGTACAATGGCCCAGTTGTGACACCTGGCATGGAAATGGCCCCAGAATCACGAGGGTGACAAATGGGTGACAAATGCTGAGGGCCTCGTTTGGCTCTGATCACACCCTGCTGAAGTTCCCTACCCAAACAGCATTTTAAAAGCAGAAACAGTGCAATAAAGAGCCCTCCTCCTGCATCCTCTCCACAGAGCCTGCTCATTAAACACTCAATTAGTGTGCTCTATTTTACTGTCTCTCCCCAGGTTCTGCATGCAGAAGAGTGTCAGGCTGGTGCCAGGAGTCACGCTGGATTTAATAGAGAAGTAAGTCAAGTTTTATGTGTGCTGGTGTGTCCTGAAAGGGGTCAGGAGAGCAGAAGCCTGGGTGTAAGTGTAAATTCTTACCAGGAAGGTGTTCCCAGAGCTCCCTGGGGTTCAGTGAGGGGGAGCAGAGCTGCCAAGGGCACCTGATCAGTAATGGGGTGAGATCACAGCAGCTCCCATTTCCTGTGCCATTTTTGCACGTTTGCAATCAGCTGAGGTTCAAAAAGCCTCTCAGTGCTGCCAGCCCTTCCACAGAGGTGTGTTGGGTTAGCCAGGTTCATCAGCAGTGTTGGGATTTTTAAATTGTGTTAATTTTATATGGGAAAAATTGTCTCCTCTCAGCTGGGGAGAGGGAGTGATAATTTGTATAAAGCTGTATTTCAGGGACACTCATTGGACCAAAATAAAAATACAGTTTATAACTGACAGAGCAGAGACAAACCCTGTCTCTCAGAGGAGGTGTCAGAGGTTTTCAGGGCAAGGATTCACCAGTGGGTGTTGCTTCCTCTGAAAGCTCTGGGGGAAATGTGCTGGGCTTTGGGTTTCTTGTGGCCTCGAGGAGATGGGAAGCAGGAAGGAAACCTTCCTGGGGATGAGTGCCAGAGGTGTGCACAGGTTTGGGGTGAGGAGGAGACACAGACCACCTCAGGTCACTGCATAAACAACGGCTGTGGTATGTTAATTAATTAACAATTGCTACAAGAGTGTCTCTAATCAGAGACGTGGTGAGGTCACTGAAGGTCTGAGGCAGCTCTGACTCAGCCTCACAGAGCACTTGAATCTTAAATCTTTGAATAAAGGTTTCCTGGCAGAAATGAGTTTTTGTTCAGGCTCTTGGTCTGTGCTTAACAATTGCTACAAGAGTCTCTCTAATCAGAGACGTGGTGAGGTCACTGAAGGGCTGAGGCAGCTCTGACTCAGCCTCACAGAGCACTTGGATCTTAAATCTTTGAATAAATAAATGAGTTTTTTTTCAGGCTCTTGGTCTGTGGTGTGCCACAGCACACGTGTGTGCCAGCAGCATCTTCCTGTGGATATCAAATATTTAAACCTCATCATCTTCCTCTGCTCCTTATATCAATTATAGAAAACACAGATTTTTATTACAGTCTCGAGACAGAGCTGGAATAATTCCTGGATTGCCTATGTGTATATTGTAATTTATAATTCAGTTGTCTTTAAAACTGGGGAAGGACTTTATATTGCAATTAAGCTGCAGACTTTGAGGCTAAATGAAGCTGCACCTTCTCTGAAGGGCTCCAATTTCCAATTATCCAGGCTCAGCCCATGTCCTGATGAGGGAACGTGGGGTGGATCCTGATGTGCATTTACATCATTGATCTTCTGAGATGAAGCCAAAACAATGCCTTAGCTTAGAAATAAAGATCTTTGCTCTACCCAGACAGCAAAATATAAAGGAATTTTGGTGGAGTGTTGGGAATTTGGGAACTTCTGGCTGCCACCTGATGAGACTTCTGTTGGCAGCATCTCTGTCCATGTTTCTCCTGCCTTGGGGGCACTTTTCTGTTTGATCCCAAGGCTTCAGATCATCCGTGCTGGAGGTGTGGCTGCTGAGTGACATGAGCTGGGCTTTGTTCTGCTTTCAAAAAGTTTGGAAAGAAACCAAGGAATGGTTTATGGGAATAAATCCATGGTAATGGGAATCCAAAACTGGGTGCCAAGAACTGGGGATGTACAAGGATGCTTTAATCTCTGTTCCTGCCTTGGGCTCCCTCTCCCAAAATCCCCCTCTCAGGGCACCAGGAATGGTGCATGGCATTCCTGGCATTTTCAGCTGGGGTCCATAGTGCAGAAGGAGGAAAAATCCCTGAGAAGGGGAAGCAAACAAAGCCTTGAGAGCTGTTCCTGCTGCTGGTGGGGCTGCTCAGAAGAGTCTGTGGCAGCCTGAGGAAATGGCTGTGCCTGGGCCCCAGCTCTGTCTCTGTCCCTGCAGAGGAGCTGGTCCCTCTGGTCCCTGGTGTCAGGGCTGGTGACAAAGGGCCCCTCTGGATGTCACCACATGGGGAAGGTCCTGCTGTGGCAGGAGCAGAGCCCGCCCCAGGCTGTCGTGCACCAGCACCACATCCATAAAAGTCACCACAAATAACAAATGTGAGACTGAAATTAATGTTTGTTTCCACTTGAAGCATTATCAAATGTCAGGGGCTGGAAATTGCTCATGTTTTCATGTCTGTTTATTATTTATAGTGGAAGGTGATAATTCATTGTTTGCCTTTGCACCTGGCTTTGGCAGTTGCAGCCCCTTGGTTTTCTTGTGGAAATGTCAGTGCAGGTGTCAGAGGTGATTTCTGTGTCTCCTGGGTGCTCCTGGCCCTGCTGTCAGGGGCTGCTGTGCCCCAGAGCCCTGGGGACTGCTGGGGCCAGCAGGAGTTTCCCTCTGCACTCACTCAGGGGGCTGTGCTGGGGTGGCTCCTTTGTCCCCTCTGTCCCAGGGGCTCAGGCAGGGCAGGCACAGCCTGTGGTGAGTGCAGAGGGAGGCTGCTGCTCCCAGGCATGGTTTTCATGGCAACGCTGGGCTCCCATCCTCTGCAGCACAGCCTCCCTGCCTTTGTCTTGCTCAGAGTTTGCCCAGGATCCCCAGCCCGGGCATGACACACCTGGATCAGCCCTGGGGCTGGAGATGGGCACCTCTCTGGGCACAGGAGCTCTGTGGCTCCTGTCTGAGCAGCTCTGGCCAGGCCAGAGGTTTCACACAGAGCCTCTGAGGCTGGGAGGGATCTCTGAGGTCACCGAGCCCCAGCTGTGCCTGATCCCAGCCCAGAGTGCCACATCCAGCCCTTCCCTGGACACCTGCAGGGATGGGCACTCCAAACCTCCCTGGGCAGCCCCTGCCAAGGCCTGAGCACCTTTTCCATGGGGAAATTCCTCCTGGAGACTAAAGCTTGCTGTGAAAGTTGCCATCACATGCTGCAAGGGGAGTGTCTGGCTGGCTGGGGAAGCTCAGCAAGGATCCCCTTGGATCCCAGGGAAGCCCCCTGGCTTGGGGAGCTGTGCTCTGCTGCAGAGGGTGTTCTGCAATGCAAATATTGACAGGGAATCCTCAGCAGAGCCTCTGTGGCCTCGTGTTCCCCTGCTCGCTGCGGGGGATCCATTAGCAAACACTGCTTCAGAGATGTGTACTTTTCCTCTGATACCAAGACAGACAGGAATTTTTCATAAGATGTTAATTTCTAGCTGGTTTAGAACTGTATTTACACAAGGAAATGGTGCTGCTGCATGTGTCAGAGGAGTGAGTGGCCATAGAAAGGTTTCCTGTGTTGGTGCTGATACTTCTGATATTTAAAAACCTGTCACAGAAAGGCAGCTGGGTTAAATTAGGAATAAATCCAGGCTGTCTTTGCAGGTTGCTGCATGTTTCTGAAACTTCCTCATCCTGTTGCTGATACTTCCTTATGAGGAGAGGCAAAATAACAGGGGTCGTATTTAGGGTTTTATTTTCCTACTTGTAGGATTCCTGGGAGGCTGAATGACAGGAGAACCCCCCTGGGGGAGCTGAACTGGATCTTCACAGCCATCACAGACACCATTGCCTGGAACGTCCTGCCCAGAGGTGAGGCTGGGGCAGGGAGGGGGTGAGGAGTCAGATCCATGAGATGCTGAAATTAGGAGAAAATTAAACCCTGGAATTGGAGGAACAGATCAGGATGGAGCTGAAAGCTAGTTTGTTTTTTATTTGTTCTTTTTACCAGAGCATTGCAGAGACCTGATCATTAGAACCCAGAAAGGGTTTTTCTGTGCTAACACAATTGTTGCAGCTTGAATAATTCTCTTTCTTACTGTATTTGTACAGAGCAATCTGTTTTCTTCCAGCCTTGGTTAGTAGCCTGAATAAAGGCTTTTTTCCCCCTCTTTGCTGGTAAGGCAGTTTTGTTTCCCATGAGTAACTTCATCCCTCATTTCTCTACCCCTGTTGTGCTCTGAATTGGTACTTCTGGAGCACAAGCAGGCAAATTTGTAAACAGTTCTCCAACCCTGCTTTTCCTAATGCTCACACAGCATCAATTCTTCTCTGCCCTGTAGAAGAGAGCACATTTGCTATCTTTTAGGATTCATTTTGGCTTCTCATGAGCACATCACACTGCCAGTTAACAGATGGATAGTTCTTGATTAAACAGTACACAGAGGTCCTGTTCTCCCTCAGTAATTTTCCAAAAACTTAGTCAGGATGAGCTGAAATGAGACACCAAAAGGGGGATTTGATCCAGAAAAGGCAAAAAAGAGCCCAAGGTAGGAAGTGTGTGGCTGTGTTAATGTAGAATGGAGTAGCCATGGTGTCTGAGGGAGCTCTGCAGGCAGAATTTCTCTTTCCTGGTTGTCATCGGGTCTCTGCAGAACAAAATGTTAACGTGGTTTTATGTCATAAGCCCTTTTTACGTGCTGCCTGAGGTGCTGCAGTGTACCTGTGCTGACTCCTGCACTCTCTTGGCAGATCTTTTCCAGAAGCTCTTCCGGCAGGACCTGCTGGTGGCCAGCTTGTTCCGGAACTTTCTGCTGGCAGAGAGGATCATGAGGTCCTACAACTGCACCCCCGTCAGCAGCCCCAGGCTGCCCCCCACCTACATGCACGCCATGTGGTGAGTGCTGGGAGCCCCAGGCTCCCTGCAGGTGTCCCCAGGGGCCTGGGATGGTGGCAGGTGTCCCATGGTGGGGAGGTGACACTTTGGGGTCCCCTCCAGCCCAAGCTGTGCCATGGTTCCACGTGGATCTCTGCAGTGCTTCCCAGGGTCAGTATTGTATTTGCATTGCCCCCAGACAAGGGAAGAATGATGAATCTCATCCATGTTCTCTGAAGGCTGATTTATTATTTTATGATCTATATTATATTAAAGAATACTAAACTGTACTAAAGAATACAGAAAGGACACTTACAGAATGCTGAAAAGATAATAATGAAAGCTCGTGACTCTCTCCAGAGTCTGACACAGCTTGGCCCTGAGTGGCCAGAGAGTGAAAACAACTCACAGCAGAACCCAATGGAACAATCACCTGTGGGTGAACAATCTCCAACCACATTCCAAAGGAGCACAACACAGGAGAAGCAAATGAGAGAAGAATTGTTTTCCTTTTTCTCTGAAGCTTCTCAGCTTCCCAGGAGAGAAATCCTGGGCGAAGGGATTTTTCAGAGAATGTGAGTGTGGCAGGTCAGGCAGTGGATCAGGGTGGAACAGCCTGTGGCAGCCTAAAGCTCCTCCCCAAAGCTGCTCCTGCTCTGGGCACTCACAATGATCCTGTAATTCTGTGCTGCAGGAGCTCCCCTCCAGCCCTGGCAGCTTTCACTCCAAACAGCACAGAAATGGGTCATCTGCTGCCTTTGTTTTCCCCAGGGATTGTGTGGGGTGGGCAAGATCCTTGTGTTGCTGCAGTAGAAGAAATTCCTGCTGTAGAGTTCCTCTCCTTTTACTGTTGCTTTTAGGATGATTAATGGAAATGGAGGAGGCACAGTTATCAAAAAGCTCTTAAATGCAGTTCTGCCCATCAAACCAATGTCCCACGAACAATTACAGTAAAAATAATAATAATAACAGTAATAACAAAAATCCTGGCTTTTATTTTCTTCTCCCTGTGGTTAATAAAGCAGCACCAAACAGGGCCAAGTAGAGGGGGGCAGTGACACTGAGGGGCTCCTGGGGGACAGAGCAGAGCCTTGCCAAAGGCTGAGGGTGACAGGTAAAGGCAGCTCCGGGGGCTTAGCCTGCACTTCCAGAAGCTTTTTAATGGGTTTGCTCCATAAAAATGTGCAGGAAGGTGAGCAGAGAGGGTGATGATGAATGAGTGTAGCACTGACAGCAGCACTGAGGAGCTCAGATTCTCAGAGCAGCCTGGGACAGTGGCAGCTGTCCCTGCCTGTGGCATCAGCTGAGCTTTAAGTCCCTTCCAACCCAAACATTCCATGATTCCATGGCATGGTTTCTGCAGGGAATGGGGCCAGGCTGGCAGCAGGGAGCCCCAGGAGCCTTTGCAGGTGCAGGCAAACACTGAGGAGGCATTTGCAGATCCCACAGAGCTTCTTTAATTATTGAAAATCCTGGAGGAAACTGGGGGGCCTTTGGCTGGAGCTGCCAGCAGCTGAACATTCTGAGTGCTGGGACGTGGCAGACAATGACCCTGAGTGCTTTGGATCAGCAGCTCCTGAGGAAAACTGCTCTGGGTATTTGGGAATGGGATGAGCTGTTCTGTCAGTGCCACCCAGGGCTGGGACACTGCTGAGGGCAGGGCAGGAAAAGCCACCCCTGGTGACTCTGAGCTGCTGCTGGACGTGGCAGAGCTCCAGCCATCAGCTGCAAGTGCAGGAGGGTGGGACATGGTGGTGCAGGAGTTTCAAAATTAAACCAGTAAATTTCTGGAGTTATTTACAGCTTGCTTTTTTGCCAGCATATTAAAAATCTATATTTTCTGTTCCTTATAGGGACATAATTCATTCTTATTGCCAGCCTATTAAAAGCCTGTGTTTCTGGTTTCCTATGGGAATATGGCTTGTCTTGGAGTTGGTGTTGCCATCCATGAGCCACAGGAATGAAACTGGAAGCTCCTGGATCCCACTTTTTATCTCTCTCAGACTCACATGGCAGCACAATGGGGTCTAGAAACACATTTTCTTGGCTCATATTGTGGTGCTGGAAATTCCTTTGGGAAGCTGCAGGATGGTGCTGGAGACACCTTTGTGAAGCCCCTCAGGGCACAGCACCTTTGCTGCTGCTTTTTAGGATTTACTAGAAGAACTTCCATAAGAACAGGACACAAAGAGCTCTTTTCCACGTGAATCCTAAACACTGGTGAGGTAGAGAGCAAGGGAGCAGGGAATTGACACACTTTATTCAGTGCCCTCCAAAAAACGTGCAGTTTGCAGCAAATCCAGCAAAGGGGAAAATTCCACTTTTGTCCGAGGTGGCTCAGTGGTTATTAGGAACTTCTAGTAAGGACAGATTTAGAAACTAATTTAGGGCTCGTTGAAATATTTTCTAAAAATAATTACTTGTCTATCACCTTTCAGTCAGGAATTTCTAATGGATGCCTTTTCTGAAACCTGCAGACCCATTTTACAGTTTGGATGAGCTGGGTGATGGATGAGGGCAGGGCAGTTGGCCACAGGGTTCTGGAAAGGATGAAGCTCCAGCCAGGGGGTTGTGGGGCTCCTGTGTAACCAAAGTCTGTGGCTCTGATCCAGCAGAGTTTTCTGATGGGTGTTTTATCCAGATTTTTCCCAGAATTTTGATCCCCAGGCAGTGTTTTGGGGAGCAAGTCTGGCTGCTGTGACAAGATCTGCACGTGGTGTGAGCAGCCCTCAAAACAGTCCCTCACCCTTGAGCATCAATTTTTACCTCCTGGATGATTCCCACTGCCCCTTCTGGGGCACAAAATCAACCTGTGCACTGTCTCCTTTGCTTACCCCATCTGTGGAGAGCTCCCCAGGTGCCTCTGGGCTGGCTCTGAGCTGGGGTCTGGCACAGGTGTAAAACAGGTGTAACACAGGTGTAACACAGGTGCTGAGGCTGCTGGAGGTGGGAGCTGCTCTGCCTTTTTTAAAATTCAACCTTCCAAGTTCGTGTTCTGGGCAATTCATTTGGGAGATCACAGTACCCTTTTTAGCTGGGACTTGAGGAAAAGTGAGAATTTCCATTTTTGGGGGGATATTTGACCCAGGAGCTGTCAGTCTCCTCCCTTCACCAAGCAGGGCAATGTGCTTTGGAGTCAGGAGAGCTGATCTCTGTGGCCGTGCCCCTTGGACACAATCTGACAAGTTATTTCTGCTTTTCCTGCTTTTCTGGGCTTGCTGAGTTCTGCCTGCTCAGCCCCTTCCCCTGTCTGTGTGCTGCCTCTCACTGCAGGTCCTGGCTGCTGCAGGCAGAGCTCTAATGCAGGATTAATATTAACATTAATATTAATATCCATTGATTGGCTGTGCTGTTCAGCTGCGAGTGGCTCTGTCTATTGTGCCTGAGCACAGAGCTCTGTCAGCACCTTGATCTCTGCTGTGATGGATTAGGGTTTGTGCATTACTGCTGCTGCCAGCTGCTTTTATTCACGGCCTCTGAAAAGACCTAATAATGTGTTTGGAAATATTTCCTAACACAGGTCATATATTAAACCCCAAGTGCCTTAATTATGCTTTGGAAGAGCTACAACCCATCCCTAATAGAAACACCGTGGTGTGTTTGCAGGCCATGAAATTTGGGTTGAAAGGAGTCATAATGTACTGCAAATACTGGAGCTGGAGATTGGGGCTGGAAACAAAACCATCATGCAGCAAGGCAATTACAGGTGGAGCAGGATGGATCAGGGCTGCCCAGCCATCCCTCAGGGAAATGAGGCTCCTGGAGCTGCACCCAAACCCTCAGGGCTCTGCAAGAACAAAGTGATTGTTGGAAGAGGCATTCGGAGCTGTTTGACGTTTGAAGGATTAGATTAGTTCAGATTACACTGTAACCAGATATTTTTTTGTGTCTGTGTGTTTGTCTTACCATCTCCAAGTCCCATTATTGGACTAGGAGACTTTGATGTGGGACAGAAATAGCAAAGCCTGTGCCCTGAGTTGTGGCTGGGGCATGGGGATGTGCTGGGAGAAGAAAAGGATTTCAGACTGTACCAAATATTCATAGCAATAACTCGTTTATAAAAATAGCTGTGTCTGAGCAGCTTCCCAGCTGTGCCCTAAAGCAGCTTAGGGAGGTGACAGGGTGGCTGCCACACAGGTGAGCTGGGGCTGGGACCTGGGGACGTGTCACACAGGGCATGGCTGGCACTGGGCTGCCAGAACTAATGGAAAATGTCTTGGCCAGCAGACCCAATGGGCTGGGAACTATTTAATGGCTTCAGAAATGGGGTTCAGAAGGAGGAGCTGCCCCAGGACTGAGGGGTGGCTTCAGCCTCCCTCCAGCTGCTCCTCCAGGCAGGGACACTCCTGTTCCTGGTACCTGGGTGGTGCCAGGTAATACCCACCACTCCCAGGGGAAAAGAGAGCGTCAAAAAACGTCAAGAATACATTATTAAAAAAAAAAGGACAGAGTTAAAAGCATTAGATATTGAGTCAGCCCAGAAATTTGTAAGAAAATCAGCCTCCATGAGCTGCCAGCTAATGGGTACCCGTGGGTGCAGCCAGACAGGCTCTGGCTGGGCTGAGCTCTGCTCCCTCAGTGTTCCTGGGGGATTCCACTGCCTGGCAGTTCGTGGGTTTGGGCAATGAACCAGTCCCTGAGCAGGGCTGGGACTCTGCCTTCTGTTCTTTGCTTGAGTCCAAACTTTGCAGCACCTCTGGGAAACAAAGAGGCAGCTGATGAGTTTGTGTTAAATTATTGAACATTCAGACAGTCCTGGTGTAGTGAAAGGGTGCTGGACTGAGGTGGGGTCCCTCCACAGACCATTCCTGTTGTGGTGCTGCCTTGGCTTTGGGCAAAGCAAAATCCCTTTTTTAAACTGAGTCAATCTTCCTGCTAAGGAGAGCTTTTAACTTTGTGCAATTAGTTCAAGGTAATATTAAAAAATAATCCTCTTTAACACCTTCTTTCATAGCATAACTCAGTTGAAGCCCTGGGGTGTTTCACAGGGTTGTCACCCTGTGGATACATCACTGTGTCACTGTCGGGGTGGAGGGCTGGAGGTTTTGGGAGAGAGCAGTGGGGAGGGAGGAAAGAAAGATGTGGAGCCCTTTGTGTCCCAAATGCAGTGAAAACAAATCTTGCAGAGCACTTTGCAGACAGCAGTCTCTGCTGAGGGGCTGCTCTGATCTCTGGCTGTCATAAATCACTGGTGGGATGCAGCTCCTCCCATCCTGGGTCCCTGCTGCTCCCAAATTTATCTCTTGTTTGTGTGATGGGATTTAGGCAGCACATCCACGGCGTGCCCACCCTTCCCGTTCCCTCTGGGGTATTAAAGCTGTCAATCACTGCTCCTCCTCCCAGCCATCAGTGTCACCAGCACGGTGACAGTGTTCTCCCTGCTCCTCCTCTCCTTACCCTCCAGGGTTCAGTCCTTTCCTATTCGTTTGTGGCTTGGTTTGAATCTTGTAATTATTGTAATGCGAGTTTAATGCCGTTGTCTGTTCAGCCAACACAGTGAGTAACCTGTGTGTAACCTGAGTGTAACCTGTGTGTAACCCTGAGGCTCTGAGGAGGGAGCAGCTGTTCCACTGGTTGGATGTAGAGAAGTTTTACTTTGGTTGCTGGTGACCCATGGGCTGGGAGGATTTGTGTTTTCCACAGACACAGCAGAAGCAGCACTTTGGGTGGTTTGGAAGGGCTGGAGAATCATTTCAGGGCTGCTCTGGAATGGCTGGGGAAGCATTTGAAGTATTTGGCTTGAGCAGAGCCTCTTCCACTGCTGACATTAATCAACAGCCCTTGGTTGTGGAGAGCATGAGGGTTAAGGTTTCCTGCTGGTTTTTGTCTTGGAAGGTTGGGAAGGCTGGCAGAGGTTTGAATGGTTTGGGTGATGTTGGCTGTGTGGCTCTGGTGGTTTCCAGCAGCCTGATTTTAGAAGCGTCAAAAAGAGATTTCATTTTAATCTACTCCAATCTCTTTTTAAATTTTTTGTTTGTTCTTTTTGATAACACTTAAACCCTTTGAGATCTGACCTCACTGGGCTTCTTTGGGCATTTCTGTAGCAGTATTAATGCTGCTTACCTAAAATTACTGTGAAGAGCTCAGCATCTTCTCTGTGTGCTGCTGCAGTGAGTGACCCTCAGAATCCTTTTGTGGGCAGCCAAAATCAGAGCAGTTGTCTCTGGTCTTTGAACCATTCTCCTGCATAGTAAAATATACCTCAAAGGCCTTGGGGCTGACATTCTCCAGTGCTGCAGAAATTTCTTTAGGTGTTTTTTGCATTTCTCCCTGGAAACAGGGGACGTTGAGCACTCCTAAGCCAGCCAACACTGTTCACATTCCTGGATGGCCAGACTTTCAGTTTCCCTGCTGCTCCTTAGGGATAACCTGTAATGCCTTCTCTTCCCTCTCTCCCTTCCTGCAGGCAAGCCTGGGACCTCGCTGTTGACATCTGCCTCTCCCAGCTGCCCACCATCATCGAGGAGGGAACTGCCTTCAGGGTGAGTTGGGGGCTGTCCTGGCACGTGGGCCCAGCTGCATCCACCCTCTGACACCAGCTCACCACTTCTGCTGGTGCAGTTTGAGGCTTTGTGGTTGGGAAAAACTGTAAATGTCTGGCACAGGGTGCCCAGAGAAGCTGTGGCTGCCCCTGGATCCCTGGAGGTTGGAGCACCCTGGCACAGGGGTGGCACAGGATGGGCTTTATGGTCCCTTCCAAGCCCAACCATTCTGGAATTCTGTGATCCTCCCTTAGAGAAACAGACTAAAATCAAGTTTAAGCCCTCCCCTGCTGCATGATCCACCCCCAGGTGGGGGTGAGCGGGAAGCTCCTGGCAGTGTCTGAGACTTGGTTCAGAAAATTCCACAGCACTCAAACTTGACCAGGTGCTGCTACCCAAAAGGGCCCAATGTGCAACACAATTTTTGAAATTAAAGGCCTAAATGTGAAAATTATCTCTTATTAGAGTTCTTTTCTAATATAAAATAGAGTTTGAGGGTATGTCCAGAGAGTTCTCTTAAGCTCAGTGTTGTTAACAGGAGTTACTGGGGTTTTTTCTGCTTTATTTAATCTCAGCAGAAAAGTAAAAATTTTATTATTATATTTAGTTTAAATTCCTTTATTCAGAAAAGGATTTTTCTTGATATTCCTTTGACATTTCATGAAGTGAAACCTTTAAATAACAATTACTGTACAAGCTCAGGTTCCTGTTCCACCCTGATTTCTCTAATTTTCAGTAGCATTCTTGCAGTTTATTTATATTACCAAACTTCCCAAGGTTTTCTGGCTGTAATTGCAGGTTGCCTCCAAAGCCCTGAGTGCAGGAGGAGAACTGTGGGCTCCTGCCAGGCTGGGGGTTGATCAGGATGCCCTCAGGCCTTTATCCTCCCACCTTTGCCTTCCTCACTCTGTGCTCTGCTTTAGAACGTAAAAAATACTACTTTTCTTCTCCTGGCTTACGTTCATTTTTACTTTCAGTCTCTAACAATGTCATTGGAGGCTTTTTTATTAGTGTTAACCCTCAGCTGGGCATTCTCTGTCAAGTGAGCTGAAATTCAGGAGATTTCTGAGTGTTTTGGGGTGGGAAGAGGCACAGGCTTGCTGGGGATGAGGCAGGAGGTCACGAAGAAGAGTGGCCATTCTCAGCTGGAGATCGATTCAGGCTAGGCTGGGAACAATTTACAGGCTGGTTTTCAGGCCTGACAAATGGGGTTTGTTGTGGATTTGGGCTGGAATGGAGGCAGGTTCAGCCTCAGTGTGCAGCTGGGGCTGGGAGCCAGAGTGCAGCCAGATTCCAGCCTGGGTGGGGGTTGGCTGGTGCTGGCCAGGGAGCAGGGAAGGGACAGTCCCTGTGGTCACTGTGGCCACTGTCAGCCTGGCAGGGCTGGGGAGCACCTGGGTGAGGCACAGGGACCTGCTGGGGGCTCCCATGTTCCTACAGGGATGGATTTGGGCTGGTCCCCTCCCTCCTCCATCTCGTCCCTCCCTCCTTCCCCACTGATTGCTGTTTCTCTGTGGATTCCTGCCTGGAAGCTGCTGTGTGCTTTGGTCAGTGCATTCTCACCCCGAGTTTGCACCATACCCTCAGGGTGATGGATGAAACAAGGAATTTGTTTTCATTGTTTCATTGCACCTGGGCTGTGTGGATGGGGCAGAGGCAGCTCCGAGTGCTGCTGCAGGAGTGAAACGGCCTCTGCAGAGCAGATAAATCCTCTGCTGCTCCATCTGCTGCTGGGGAGAGAGCAGCCACGCTTCCCCAGGACCTTTTGTGCTCACTTTTCCTCTTTCTCTACTCTTCCCTCCTGTTTTTCCCAACACATTTAAAGGGATGTGTGCCTGCTCAGTCTTTGGGAAGTTTTTGTGCATTTAGAAAACCCCAAGCAAGCAAGTATCAGTTACAAAGCACAGCTTCAGCAAACAGTGAGGTGCACAGGTGTCAGAACTCCTGCATGGTGTTTGACCCATGCTGCATTCCCACTCTGCTCCCCCAGCACAGCCCCTTCTTCGCCGAGCAGCTCACGGCCTTCCAGGTGTGGCTGACCATGGGCGTGGAGAACCGCAACCCCCCGGAGCAGCTGCCCATCGTGCTGCAGGTCAGTGCTGGGGCTGGGGTCCCTGTGCGTGCCAGGGGGGTCCCTGTCACTCTCTGTCCATCCTAGGGATGTCCCTGCCTCTCCCTGCCCATGCCAGGGGGGTCCCTGTCACTCGCTGCCCCTGCCAGGGGTGTTCCTGCCCATGCCAGGGGGGTCCCTGTCATTCTCAGGGGTGTCCCTGTCTCTCCCTGCTCATCCCAGGAGTGTCCCTGCTCATCCCAGGGATGTCCCTGTCCATCCCAGGGGTGTCCCTGCCTGTGCCAGGGGTGTCCCTGCCTCTCCCTGCCCGTGCCAGGGGTGTCCCTGTCTGTCCCAGGGGGGTCCCTGTCTCTCCCTGCCCGTGCCAGGGGTGTCCCTGTCCATCCCAGGGGTGTCCCTGCCTGTCCCAGGGGTGTCCCTGTCTCTCCCTACCTGTCCCAGGGGTGTCCTAGTGTCCCTGCTCATCCCAGGGATGTCCCTGTCCATCCCAGGGGTGTCCCTGCCTCTCCCTGTCTGTCCCAGGGGGGTCCCTGCCTCTCCCTGCCTGTGCCAGGGTTGTCCCTGTCCATCCCAGGGGTGTCCCTGCCTCTCCCTGCCCGTGCCAGGGGTGTCCCTGTCCATCCCAGGGGTGTCCTGGGATGTCCATCCTAGGGATGTCCCTACCTCTCCCTGTCCATCCCAGGAGTGTCCCTGCCTGTCCCAGGGGTGTCCCTGTCTCTCCCTACCTGTCCCAGGGGTGTCCTTGCCTGTCCCAGGGGTGTCCTTGTCTCTCTCTGCCCATCCCAGGGGTGTCCCTGTCTCTCCCTGCCCCTGCCATATGTCCGTGTCTCTCCTGCCCCTTCAGCCAACCCAGTGGCCTTTGGGAACACAAATACCAGGGGCTTCTCCAGGATAAATGAGAGCTGGTTGTGAGTTCACCAGACCCACGAGGATGAGCCCAAAGTGCTTTTCCTGCCCATCCTGTGGCTCTGGTCCATGTCTGGCTCTGCTGCCTCTCTCAGAGCAGCACATCTTCATTGTCCCTCCTCTGGCATCTCCTCTGTGGCCCAGCTCTGTCAGACAGAGACTTTTATCTTCCAGTTTTCAGAAAGTGGAAGTTACTGCAGCATAAATCATTTGGAAATGTCTTTTATCCATCTGGTACAGCCTGGGAGGTGTTCCCTTTAACATGGGGCTGGAGCCTTGCTGCAGGAGCACAGAGCCAGGGCTCTGCAGGCCTGGAGGGTGGGGGGCTCTGCAGACACTGCTCAGACAGGCAGAGCTCTGGTGTTGGAAGGGGAGGAAATCCAGGGGAAGCAGAACTCAGTGTTTCAGGTGATGTTCTATGGCAGGGCCAGGATTGCAGCTGTCATCTGGAGCTGCTCTGGCCTCCCCTCCCCTGCAGTTTGTGCTGACAGAAATACAAACCCCAGCCAGGGACCTGTGGGCAGCACAATTTAAAGCCTTTCTTTCAAGGGAATGTTCCTTGTACAGGGATCTGTGAGGAGACTCCCCTTCCCTGTCAGCTGGGTCTGTGACTGACAGCACCATCCATCTCTGCAAGAGCAGATTTTAATTTCCTGAGTCTCCCAAGCCTTGAGAGATGAGGTGGATAAGCAGATGTGTGGTTTGTCTCTGTCACTGCCATGGAAGCAGGCAGGATTTTGCTCCAGCTCCAACTTTGCTGCTTTCCAGTGGATTGTTTGGCAGCAGCAGGCTCTGCAGGAGCGTGACTGCAGTGGAACTGAGGGGTCACCTGGCAAAGGAACCTGTGTTCCTGCCTGGAGCAAATTTGAGCTGGGACAGCGTAATTGTTGTTATAATTATAGCACACTAATTGTACAGTGGAATAAGATGGGTTGAGCATCCTGAGAATCCAAGCCCAGCTGATCCAGGGCAGGAAGGGAGGGAGTTTCAGACCCTCTCTGGGGGAGAAGCCATCAGAGAGCAGCAGCACACACAGCCTGGCCAGCCCGGATCCCTGTGACAGTCACGCTGTGGGGTCTGTGCACGGCTCACTGCAGGCCTGACTTCATCCTGCCTTTGTGAGGATTAAAATATGCCTGCTAAAATATGGACTGTGACATGCCAGTGATCCCCCTGTGTCCCTGCTCGTCCCTCATTTGCGTGTGTGGATGTAATTAACTCCCCATGTTCTGCCTGGGGACGGCGAGGACGCGCGGTGACGCAGGGCTGCGTGCGTGGGTGGCACGTGAGCACCTCCAGCACTCACCAGCAGGAATCATGCAGTAAAGGAATCAAGGAGCTGCCCCCATCCTCAGCCCAGGCTCTGCAATGTGTCTCAGCTGGGCTCAGGGTGTTGTGCAGGCCCACTGGGAGCTGGGAATGGGAAATCCTGCCAGACCGAGGGCTTTGGTTGGGGGGGGACAATGCAAACCAGAGCTTTTCCAGTCAGACCCAGACTGCTCTGGGGGAATGTGCTGTGAGAGGGCAAAGTGTGGAGCTGGGGGTTCATCTTCACCCAGACAGTCTTTCCAGTTAGCTCCCTTCCTTGACAGAGTTTGGAGTCCCTTGGTTTCTCTGCAGGCTGGAGGCTCCCAGCTGTGCCATGTCTGTGCCTCATGCCCCTGCCAGCTCCTGCTGCTGTCCCAGCCCTGCTCCAGCCTCACCTGCCCTGCTCTCAGCTCCTGCTATAATCCCAAACAGCTGCCCCTGTTATTCCTGGGCTGGTTGATGGAACAGGCTGGTGCCAACTAGGGCAGGATGACCAAAATCCTCTCTCTTATGACCTGTTCTGAGATCTGAGCTCTGATATTCAGAGTGAACCCACACCAGTAATTATCACATCCTCCTGCTTTCTTCTGGACTTTTCCTGCACCACCTCAGTACCCAGTACCAGTCATCCAGAGTGTGAGTTGTGAGCCAAGTAATTTAGTTATTCTTCAATATTAAAGATGAAAAATAATCTAATTTCAATATGCAGCATGCAAACACACTGAGGAGGGGATGGAATTGGGGAGGTAAATCAAGAAGTCTCTTTCCCTGAGATCCATGCTGAAGGATGTTCCTCAATTTAAACTGAGGATTAAATGTTGCATTCCAATATCTTACATCTGTTAAGGAGATTAAGAACTGCAAGTCTATCTGTTAATATTTCACACCAGGGTAGGTATAAGCCAGTAAAGCACCACCTCATTAGCGTTGTCAGACTCCATTTTAATGAGATTTTTATTAACGACCAACATGACCTTTTGCTCCCTCTTAAGTCTGTGATATTGATTTGCCAAGGAAAGCAAAGCCTCTTCCTGTGCTCCTGAGCTTTGGGAGCAGAGGGAGGCTGGGCTGGCACTGTCCTTTGGGTCCTGCTGCAGGAGCCGCCAGGAGCTGGGCTGGGAAAGGCAGCTGGGATCCCTAGGGATTGCTCCAGCAGGAGCATTTCTGGAGCATTCTTGGGTACCAGGCTTTGTGCCCTGCAGGCCCAGGAGGAGTTGGCCCTGGCATTAACCCTTCCCTTTGCCCCGGAGGTGCTGCTGAGCTGGGAAAGGCAGCTGGGATCCAGCAGGAGCATTCCTGGAGCATTGCTGGGTACCAGGCTTTGAGCCCTGCAGGCCCAGGAGGAGCTGGCCCTGGCAGTAACTCTTCCCTGCAGGCCCAGGAGGAGTTGGCCCTGGCAGTAACCCTTCCCTTTGCCCTGGAGGGGCTGCTGAGCTGGGAAAGGCAGCTGGGGTCCAGCAGGAGCATTCCTGGAGCATTGCTGGGTACCAGGCTTTGAGCCCTGCAGGCCCAGGAGGAGTTGGCCCTGGCAGTAACCCTTCCCTGTGCCCTGCAGGTGCTGCTGAGCCAGGTGCACCGGCTGCGAGCGCTGGATCTGCTGGGGAGGTTCCTGGACCTGGGGCCCTGGGCTGTCAGTCTGGTGCGTGGGGGCTGCACGTGGGCTCCATCCCTCCCTCCCTCTGCCTCAGCAGGGGTGGTGGATGCAGCTGGGGCTGAGGGGAGGGAGCTGGGGAGCATCAGCACAGCTCTGACAGATGCCCAGGGTGGTGTGCTCGTGTGTGGGCAATGGAGCAGTGTCACACGGGTTTGTGTTCATCACATCCATCCCCCTGTTCTGCCAGCACAGCAAAGGGACTTCCTTGGGAACAGTTCACTGGGAAGTAATGTAAGGGACAAACCAGGAGGAAATATCTGGGGCAGGTAAGGAGGTTGGTCATAGAAAATAAATAGCCAAAAAAAGCACATGTATTTATTATGTGTTCTTTCAGCTTACTGGCTGCATCATTTTCTTCTCCTCCTTTATCTGTTTGGTGTCTGGATTTTACAAGCTCTTCTGAGCAGGCAGCAGCTGCATTCTGCAGTTTGGAAAGTGGCAGCACAGTGTGGAGCATAAATAAGAATTAAACAGGAGCAGTTTAAAGCACTCCCGTAAATGGAGCTGTTTGATGATAAAAGTGATGAAGATGAAGCACCAGCTGGTCGTGGAGCAGCTCAGTGATGGCACTTTGTAGTGGTTTGCTTTACCTCCTCCTGGAGAGACCTGTTAATTTCCAGTGGGAAGGCTGGAATTCCTGAACTCTGTGACGTGTTTAGCTGGGACAGCCAGCAGAGCTGAGGGAAATGAGGATATGGAGCATAAAACAGCCCAGGAAGGGAGGAGAGGAAGCTGGTGCTGGATTAACTCAGGGTCTCCATGAACCAAATGGGTCTGGAAGTACCTGGTGCCATTCAAGATTAAAATAACAACAGACAAACACACAGGGATCCCCTCTTTGCTGGAAACATGGGGAATTATTTCCTACCAGATTGCTGAGCTGTGTCTGTAGATGCTGCATCCTGGGCCCTGCTGGGGGCTCAGCTGCCATGGGCGGTTGGGTTTTACTGACAGGATTTGTTCTCTCCCTCCAGGCCCTCTCTGTTGGCATTTTCCCCTATGTGCTGAAGCTCCTGCAGAGCTCAGCCCGTGAGCTGAGACCTCTCCTTGTGTTCATCTGGGCCAAGATCCTGGCAGTGGACAGTGTGAGTATTCCTGACCCCAGGGCACTGCCTCAGCCAGAGCTCTGCTTGCTGGGCTTTCAAATAAATAATGAAGCTGGGAAGTAATTGCAGGTAAATTTGTAGAGTGGTATCTCTGACTCAGTGGTTTGTGGGTGCAATTAGTTGAGCACTGTAAAATTATTAGGAGAGGTGCACACATTAATTCAGGCACAATTGGAAGTCCATGTAGAATGTCTGAATTGCTGTGGATGTTGGATCTTCCCTCTTTGGGGGTTATTTTTGTATCTCTCCTGCACTTCAGTATGGAGCATAGCACTGAATTCCTGAAGTTTTCCTGCTGTTGATCCAGCATTGTCAGGTTTAGTTTTTTAACAATATTTTCATTAACATCCTAAGAGGATTTGGAAAAGCAAAGAAAATGAAAACTATTCATCTCAGAGCTCTTCTGGAAAAGCTCCTTTTTTGTGGTGCACCCGAGGCTGGTGCCTCAGCCCCAGGTGTGTGCCAGGGGCTCAGGTGTGATTCCCATGTGCTGTCGTGCCCCTCACACCTTCCCTCCCATGCTCTGGCATTGCCTCACTTGTTTGCAGGCTGAGCTTTACAGAAAACACCAAAAAAAAAAAACCCCACTCTGAAATGGTGGGTTTGGGTTTCTTTGTGCTGTTTCACTCACTCACTCCAGCAGCACATGGTGGGAGTGGGAGGGGAGGAGGGGGAAGTGCTGTGGATGCTGCTGGGGGGGCACAGGCAGCAGCTCCTTGCAAACAGAATATTTCTGTTAGTCTGAACTTGCACACCAAGCCTGCAGCCTGGCTGGGTCACGCTGTGAGGAGCTGGGTCACTCCAGAGGAGCAGTTTATTCCCTGAGGAAGAGGAGGAGGTGTCAGGGCTGCTGGGTTTCCTCCCAGCAGGGAGGGGTTCAGGAGGGGCTCTGTGGCCCTGGCTCCCTCCAGGAGCTGGGCAGCAGAGGCAGAGCAGCAGGGTGGCCCGTGCAGGGTCACTGTGCTGCTGTCCAGGGGCTGGTTCTGTGTGAGGAACACAAAGTGCTGACACTGGGAGGGCTCTGGGAGGAGCCTGGGGTGAGCAGGAGTCGGGGAAGCCTCTCCTGTAGCTGCAGCCTGGCAGCAGTCCAGGCTCTCTGCTCCTGCCTCTGCCAAAACCAGCAGCTTCGCTCTCCTCAGCACTAAAATATTCCCTTGCATCTCTGCCTTGCCATCCCCCCCTCCCCTTGCAGCAATTAGTTCCCTCCTTCCCCTTCTCCTCCTGATGAAAAATGCATGATCCTGTCCCGTGCCACAGGGAGCTGATGCCAAGTCAGGGTTTCCTCCCTTCCATTTTCGCTTTCTCCACGTGGATCCCCTCTGAGTGACCCCAGAGCTCAGCCTGGAGCCTGAGCTGTGTCAGCCAAGCCCTGAGCTCCCCCCTGAGCCCAGCCCAGGAGCCTGCCCTGTGCTCCCCAGGGGCTGCTCTGCAGCCTGGCCTGCCTCTAGTAGGAGCCAGGAATTCCTGGGGAATTCCTGGGGAGGTTCAGTGTGGCACAGGGTGACTCCTCTGGCTCTTGCCCACAGCAGGAGCTCACATTTCCTGCTGTTTGTGGCACTGGCAGAGGTTTCCCTGCTCTGCCCCTTGGGGCTGTCTGGTTGCAGCCCCCAGGAAGGGCTTCAGCTTCATTTGGCTTCTCAAATGAAAACAAGGATGGAGAAAAATGGTTAAGAAATGAAAGATTTATACATCACAGGAGGAAGAAATGTGTGTGTTGTGGTTCTCACTGTGGTTTTCTTGTCTCTCTTTCAGTCGTGCCAGGCTGACCTGGTGAAGGACAATGGGCACAAGTATTTCCTCTCAGTCCTGGCAGATCCTTACATGCCAGTAAGGACAAGTCACATTTATTCAGACTCTTTAGCATTTCCTTGCCTTGTTTTAGCTGATCTTCTGCAGTTCTGGTGCCACATGGGGCTGCCTGGGCCTGCAGTGGCACCCAGTGCTGAGCTGGGCTGTGGGGCACAGGCACCACCCAGCCAAGGCTTCACAAACTCCCTTGGGCTTCTGAAAGCAGGGTCTCTGAGGGTGCAGCTGGGGCTCCAGGGTGCTCCTGGAGCAGGGAATTGCCCCACAGCTTTGGCAATTCCCTCTGCAGCAGCTGGGTTCCCATAGGGTGTTTGGGGTCTCCCCAGAGCTGGTTGGGAGCATGCTGGGGTGTAACAGGGCTGGTGCCAAGAGAGGGGAAAGAAAGCTGGAATTTTCTCATTCTTTGACATGGCACAGCCTGCTCTGTGTTCGGGGTGCCCTGTGTTCAGGGTGGGCTGTGGCTGTTCCTGCCCCAGGTAACCTCAGTCTGTGCTGTTTTCAGGCTGAGCACAGGACAATGACAGCGTTCATCCTGGCTGTGATTGTCAACAACTACAACACTGGGCAGGTGAGTCCCAGCAGCCCTTCCCCTTCATCCCCTCCCACCTCTCTCTGCCTCATGCCTTTGCTTTGGTGAAAGTGTCCTGGCTTGCACTAAGCCCAAACCTGAACTTGGAAACAGAACTGGAACTGTTATTGGTTTCTGTTATTTCTCTGTGGATTAAGAGAAGAACTGGCCTGGAGATGACAGGCCTTCTGTACCCAGCACCTGGCAGTGGGGGATGGTTTCTGTTATTTCTCTGTGGATTAAGAGAAGAACTGGCCTGGAGATGTGACAGGCGTTCTGTACTCAGCACCTGGCAGTGGGGGACAAGGACAAGGGTCCCTGCACAGCCAGTGGCAGAGGAAGAGTTGCTGGTGCTGTCCAGTGGGAGCCTCGTGGCTGGGAATGGTCTGTGGATTGAGCCACACATCCTGGGGCTCTGACAGGTGCAAGGAATGTTTCCAAAGAGGAAAAAACAGGCTTTATGCATTACAGAAAGCATTTTAATGCTCAGCTCTCTAATCAACTCTAGCTGCCTTTCCCTTCATGCTGCTGCTATTCTGTAACAAAATCAGTCTGGAACCACTGAACGATTATTTTCTCTTGGCTTCCTGACTCCTTCAGAAATAGTCTCCTTCTGTGGGGATGAGGTGGGAAGCTGTCATCCCAAACAAAAGGCTTGGTTTGTGTTGCAGGAAGCCTGCCTGCAGGGGAACCTGATAGCGATCTGCCTGGAGCAGCTGAACGATCCCCACCCGCTCCTCAGGCAGTGGGTGGCCATTTGTCTGGGGAGGATCTGGCAGAACTTCGACTCAGCCAGGTGGTGTGGAGTGAGAGACAGCGCCCATGAGAAGCTCTACAGCCTCCTCTCAGATCCAATCCCAGAGGTAAAACTCCAGCTCCTCTGGTGGGCGCCACTGGAACTGGCAGGACTGAAGTTCCTGCAGAGCAGGGTCTTCTGGAGCTTTGTGTTTGTGTCTGGTTCAGAGAAAGATCTTACTGCTGTTTCTTCAAGGTGATGCAAATTAAATAAGCCCAAAAATCAAAATTTATCACCTTAAGAGAGGAGCTTCCAAAGAAATGCAGAGGGAGTTCATAGAGCCCCAAACCCCTGGGACCTGGGCACTGCAGTGTCATGGTTTTTGCTTCCTTGCATATCAGAAGCTGTTGAAAATGTGGTCCCAAAACTGACTGTGTTTTGTAAAAAACCTTCTAGTCTTTTTGTCCAAGTATGAAAACTCTTCTCCCCCTGCTGATTGTGAAAATGCATCTTTAATTGGCTGTGTTTTACCTTTGTGACACTCCCAGGAGAGGAGGGATTGTGCAGGGCCTGGCAGTGACTGACAGAGCCCATCAGACCCAGCACACGCCCTGGGAGAAGGGAGCTGAGATAAACAGCTCTGATAACGTGCAGGGATTAGGGATGAGATCCCCCTCCACATCCAGCCTCTGTCCTGCATCCTCCTCTTCTTGTCCCTGGCCCCATCCTCCCCACTTTTTGAGGAGTATTTCTGCACAGGTGGGGTGGATTTCCAGAGTTTTCCCTGATTTTTCTCCATTTTCCATCACCTAAGCCCATAACTGAGGACAGTATCAGCACTCCTGTAAAAGATTCACATCCCAACAGGAGCTGTGTGTGTACCTTATTCCTGTTAATTAATATTCAAGGCAACACCAACTGGAAGAGTCACCCATGGGAAGGTCACTGAGTATTCTGGGAAATTAACCATATCCTGCATCTGTGAGTGCTTCAAACCCAGTTTGCTGAGGCTGCTGGGGCTGCTGCTCAGCAGGGGCTCCCCTGGCCCAGCAGCTCAGGTCTGCAGCGCTGGGGATAAAAAATGAGAGCCCCGTGGCAGCAGAGGGACAGCCAGGGCTGTTTGTGTCCCCAGGTTCGCTGTGCTGCAGTCTTTGCTCTGGGCACCTTCGTGGGCAACTCAGCGGAGCGCACGGACCACTCGACCACCATCGACCACAACGTGGCCATGATGCTGGCCCAGCTCATCAACGATGGCAGCCCCATGGTCCGCAAGGTGAGGGGCTGGGCTGGGCCCTGGGGCTGCCCCTGCTGCCAGAGCCACAGCCTGGGCAGGGCGTGAGGGAGGGAATGGCTCTTCCTGCCTCAGAACCCCACAGTCTGCAGGGCATGAGGGAGAGAATGGCTCTCCCTGCCTTAGAACCCCACAGGCTGGGCAGGGCATGAGGGAACTCTGGGTCTCCCTGCCTTTAGAACCCCACAGGCTGCTCCAGAGTGGCTCTCCTGTGGTAGCAGGCCCCCAGCTGGGTAATAATTAGCATTGACTCCATGATCTAGAAGGTATGAAAGACACTTTATTATTAGATATCAACAGCTCTTATAGAATGGCTCTCCCTGCCTTAGAACCCCACAGGTTGGGCAGGGCATGAGGGAACTCTGGGTCTCCCTGCCTTTAGAACCCCACAGGCTGCTCCAGAGTGGCTCTCCTGTGGTAGCAGGCCCCCAGCTGGGTAATAATTAGCATTGACTCCATGATCTAGAAGGTATGAAAGACACTTTATTATTAGATATCAACAGCTCTTATAGAAGCAATGGTGAACCTAAGACCTGATTGGTCTCAAAGTGAAAACTTTTCACACGCTGTTGGTGGTTATCAATAACACACTCTAGAGAACCATATCTGTAAACAATGGTTACAAAAAGAGAGATAATAATTGTTTGAATTCTTTTCCTCTAAGTTTCTCATAGCTTCTACACAGCTTCCCAGGATTTTTCTGGGAAAGTCTGTGCCTGCTCTCTGTGCCCAGAGAGCTGCTTCCCCACTCTCCAGCTTTGAGAGAGCTACAGTTTCTGAGGCACCATCATACATCAATAGTACATTAAATGGTTTTTGACATTCTGGATTGTTTTTGAGGGCTGTTCTGAAGTGTCCTAATGTTTGTGTTTACTTTACTGGAACATCAACACCCTGGCAGTTGTCAGCCGCATTGCAAAGATTCATTTCTGTTGTCTCGTTCCAGCATTTAATCAGTTTAATTCAGGAGAGAGCTGCGTGTCACACGGAATGCTCTGTGAGATTCATAAATCTCTCCTTGGGAGATCAGTCCCTGAGCAGAGACAGCAGCCAAGGCAGCTCTGCCTCCTGCCTGCTGCTCCCAGGGGCCAGGCAGGAGGTGTCTTCTGGAGGGGCTGAGCTCTGTGTGGGGCTGGGCAGTGCCAGGAGGGTCCAGCTGTGCCACGGGGGGCTGAGAGCCCCCAGCCCTGGCACAAAGCCTGCCTCTGAGGGACCACACACATCGTGTGGGCTGGGCCAGGTCAGGGCTGCCGTGGCACTCCATCAGTCTGGCAGACTGTCAGAATCAGCCACAGATCCCCAGGATGGTTTGGGGTGGAAGGGACCTTAAAGCTCATCTCAATCCAAGCCCTGCTGTCCTAGGCAGGGACACCTCCCACCAGAGCAGGCTACTCCAGAGGGAGGAAGCCTGTCCAGGTAGGAAAGACTTTGAGGAATTAGGTGTGAGACAGAGTCCTCTGCCTTTCTGCAGTTCACCCCTTGAATTAAGGGAGAATTACCACCCTGGGTGGCCACCCAGTAACACCAACAATTGGTCAGTGTTTGCCCTCAGTCCCTCGTTCCCCACTGTGTACCCATGAGATGTTTCTTGTGCTCTTTCCCCAGGAGCTGGTGGTGGCCCTGAGTCACCTGGTGGTTCAGTACGAGAGCAATTTCTGCACCGTGGCCTTGCAGTTCATAGAGGAGGAGAAGAATTACCCTCTCCCTTCTCCAGCTGCTCCAGGTGGGGGCTTGGCTTTGGCTGGCCAGGAAATTTAGGGCCTGAAAGTACTCGGAAATTATTTAAGGAGTTTTCCCAACACAGCTTCTTGCTGGTGGGGTTTATTAAAGAGCCCTGCTGTGACACGATGGGTGACAAGGAGGGGACATGTGGTGTCTGTTCAGCCCTGTGAGATGTTACACTGCAGAAATCCATCCTGCACTGAGTCCCCACCTAAGCCTTGGCTGCAGCTCACCAGGAGCCTCCTGTCCATTCAGAGAGATTCCCTTCAGCTCGAGGCTGAAGGATCCTGGTCAAGGCAGCACACAGGCTCGTTTTCCTTCTCCCCTCTGGAGTCACACGTGAACGTTCAGTGTCACGCTGACCTGGTGAGAGCTCCAGCACACCATGAGCCAGCCCTGCTGCTGGGAGGGCCAGACAAGGAAGGGAAGAACTCTGTGCTCTGAGCCTGTGGCCCCATCCCTTTTGTTGTGTCTGAGGCTTTATGTGAGGAATGAAATGTCATGGTGAAGTTGTCTCTGACCTCACCTTTTCTTTAGATGTAAACTGCAGTGGAAGTCTTGAAGGATAACAGGAGAATCTTGGAGACAAGACTGTGTGTTGTCTCTGCACAGTGGTTTGGTCTCCTTGTCCTCTGAATAAGTGAATCATATTGGAAAATGAGCTCCTCCCCATTTGCTGCAGGAAATAAACACTGCATGAGTTTCTACAGGGCTTTTCCTGATCCAAAAGAGCCCTGAAGTGGGATACTCTGGAAGCACTGGCCCCCCACCACAGTGCAGCCACTCTGCAGGGAGACAGAGCAGCTCCTCTGAGCCCATGGGACTGTGTGTGCTCAGGGTGAAATATGACTTGAGATCAGGCCTGAAATTTGGTCAGGAAACCAGAATTTTCATATCTCCTGATGATGAGCAAATCCAGGAGGGGTTTGATGAGCAGCAGCAGAGAGGAGCTGGGCAAGGCCAACTGTCCTGACACAGGGGCTGGACCTGCAGAGAGGAGTCACCAGAGCCCCTGGGAGGCACTGGCAAGGCTGGGCTCACCTGGCCTTGCTGCATGTCCCAAACTCCCCTCCTGGACAGCAGAGACACGGGATCTGTGCTGGACCCGCGGCCACACCGTGTCCCCCTTCAGCCTGACAGAGAATGACAAACTCTGTTCAGTCAGGGGCGTTTCAATGACCATTTGCTGGGCACCAACCCAGGTTAGGGGCTGGGTTTGGTGCCAGCCATGACCCTGAGTGCTGCTGTTGCCTCGCAGAGGGCGGGAGCCTGACGCCGGTGCGGGACGGGCCCTGCACGCCGCGGCTGCGCTCCGTCAGCTCCTACGGCAACATCCGCGCCGTCACCAGCGCCAGGAGCCTCAACAAGAGCCTGCAGAACCTCAGCCTCAACGAGGAGTGTAAGTAAGGCGCCTCCCGTGCCCCTCCTGCCAGCCAGGAAACAGCACAGCACAGGCTGGAACAGCCAGGAAACACCACAGCCCAAACTGTCCAGCTCCGAGGGCTTGGATGAGGAGCCTCCTCATAATTAGTTGCAATTTTCTGGTCATTAGCATTGATTTTTCTGAGTGTTTGGGGACTAAAAATGTGCCTTCCAGCTTCCAAGCATAAGTGGATTTTTAACTCAATCTTTTGCTTGTTCTGTGTTTAATCCTTCAGTATTAAAAAGGAGAATTGTGGCTTCGCCCCCTGGGTAAGGGGTTTCCTTCCCTGAGCGTGGCAGGATTTAGAAAAGGGCTGTTTTGTCTGGGTGAAAATTGTTCTTTTGCCAGTCCTCGTTCCAGCATCTGCTGTTGTGTCCTGGCAGCTGGAAGCTCTGTGGCCTTTTCCCCTGGGAACCTGAGCACGAGCAGCAGTGCCAGCAGCACGCTGGGCAGCCCTGAGAACGAGGAGTACATCCTGTCCTTCGAGACCATCGACAAGATGAGAAGAGTCAGCTCCTACTCCTCCCTCAACTCCCTCATAGTGGAGCACAGCCCTCCTGCCCTGCCCTGCCCTGGGGGAAGGTTGGGGTCCTGCTCTCCCTGCTGTGTGTGGCTGGCTCACCCCAGCAGAGGGATGGCAGTGGGAGCTGTTGGCTCCAGGTCTAAGCTGCAATGAAATCCTGTTAGGAATTCAGGCACAAAAATGTGGGGGCCACAACAGCTTGGTTTTAAACTACCTGTAGCTTTTCAAACAATCTGAGCCATTTTGGCACGGCACCACAGGCAGCATGCAGAAGGACCTGGCTTTTGGAATGGCCTCCTTCCAGGGAAAGCAGCATGCACAGGGAAATGCTGAGGGAAGTCTCTGTACTTCCTCTGTAATCAGTAAATGGGCCCATATTTCACAAATCAGTGCAAAGAGAGTAACTCAGGGAAAAATCACCTTTGCCTTGACCAAAGAAACATTTTCTCTGCTCTGTTTTCTAGGAGAATTAATGGTGATTTGGCTCTCCCAAGTTGAAAGATTCAGGGATTGTAATTACTGAGCCCCTGTGGCAGTTTAAAATCATGAGTTCATTAGGAACTTGATCAGTTAATTTGCTTTTGATTATCAGTAATGACATTGGATCTTCTGAAGCATGGCAGGGATGTTAGGAAATGTCTCTCCATCTTGAGCTAGGACTTGAGTTTTCCCATTTCCACTGGTGTGTGCTTGATGGCTGGTGTGTGTCTCACAAGAGCTGTGCAGCCCAGCTGGAAAAGGCTCTGGAGAGGAGCTGGAGGTGGTGAGGGGAACTTTGGAAAGAGAGAGCAGCTCTCCAAGGCCTCCCTCATTCCTGATCCATCAAAGAGCTCAGACCCAGCTGGAAACACAGAGCTTAGAGAAGTGTTTAAAATTCATGACTCGCACAGAATCCCATTACCTCCCCATTTGCCTGCTGCAAGCCAGGCTTCTCTCATTCCTTCTGAAGCATCACCATCCTCCAGCCCTGTCTCCTGCTCCCCGAGGAGAGATGCCACAGCCCCAGCCACCCCCGCAGCTCTGCAGCCCAGGCTAACCCTGCTCCTCAATGTGCCTTGAGCTGCTGCTGCAGGGGAGCTGGGGAGGCCGCTGGGGCAGAGACCTGTGCCTGAAGGAGTGCTGTGCTCTGCTCTTGTCTTCTGAAGGAGGCAATGGGGCTCTGGCTCTTCAGTAATGCCTCTGCCAGGCACCTGAGATGGCCAGAGCAATGGAAAAGGTTTTTGGAGCACATGGGGAGACTCCAAGTGAAGCAGGAATCTGGTGTGTAAGAGGGAAAGGAGAAATTTTCAGCCACAGTCTGTGTTCTGTGCTCTGCATTCCTGTCCTAAGCTGATTCACTGATCACATAATTCCAGAATGGTTTGAGCTGGGGGGGACCCTAAAGCCCATCCAGTGCCACCCCTGCCATGGGCAGGGACACCTTCCACTACCCCAGGGTGCTCCAAGTCCTGTCCAAGCTGCCCTTGGGTCCTTCCAGGGATCCAGGAGCAGCCACAACCTGCTGAAGCTCAGGTCTTTGTTCCTCTCTGGCAGTTTTAAGAACCTGGCATGTGAGGGGTTGTTCTGGATCAGTCTCTATGCTGGCACTGAGGAATCATACCACGTACTTCTGCCCAAAAACTTGAGGAGAACCTCTCCATTCCTCCTTGTCCCATTTCACAAGCAGTTCCTTAGCTAGCTGTGGGCCAAATGTCCCCATTATGGCTCCCCAAATGCCACAGCACACGCTCTCAGCCGAGCTCTGTGTTCTCTGGCAGCTGCTCCTTGGCCAGACAGACCAGTACCAGGAGAGACATTTATTTCTGGCCCACTTTTCCAGCTGGCAAGAGGCAGTTTGTGGTTAGTCAACAAAGACATCATTTTGGAAGGGAAGCTGAGCCTTGCTGCTTTTCCATACAGCCACTCATTAATCTTGGTGTCCTGGAAATGTTCAGTTTTAAGATAGGAAAAGGGATGGAATTAAATGGGGGTTTGCATACCTCGAGGCTGATTATTCATATCCAAACTGCACGATGAAAGCCTTTGTCCTACAGAGAGCTTCTCTGGAAAGATTATCTTAAGGAGTGATCAAAGAAGGAGGAAAATAAATCTTGGAGCAATGAAATGCTGGGGAATTGTTGTCTTCTCCAGCAGGAGAGGCTGGGGGTGGAGGGCTGTTTGCCACTTACCAGGATGTGCCTCTGAGTAGCAGTGAGGGCGGAGGTTGCTGCAGCGAGGATGAGGAGAGCAGAGGTGGAGGTGGACACTGAGGTGCAGGAAGCAGAGCTTGGGGCAGGGGAGCCTCCTACTCTGTGTTAATGCACAGAGATAATGAGAAGGAGCTGGTCAGCCAGCAGTGTGTGTAGCTGGGAACAGCACAGCAGCAAAATCCACGGATCTGGGTGGGGTTTGGGAATGGGAACTTGCTGCAGGGGCTGCTCAGAGGGGGCTGTGTCCCTGGGGGTGGTGCCAGCTCTGCCCAGGGGTGCCTGTCAAGAGGAATTCCTGCTGCTGAGCTGCTCCTGGCTCCTGTGGAGCACAGGGAGCTGCAGCTCTGCCCAGGGCTCAGGGTGAGCCCTGCAGGGCCCCAGGAGGGCTCAGGGGCTGGGCTGTGCCTGCAGGGAGCAGAGCTCAGGGAGCTGTGGGGATTTGGGGCGTCCCCTTCACCCGGGGTCCCTCCTGGCAGGAGGAGGCGTTTGTGGCATGCACATTGAGCACCTGTGGTTGGCACTGAGGGGAAGCAGCTCCCCAAATCCTCAGGGCTGTTCAGCCTGGAATGTTTCAGCTGCATTTCCCTGCACAGCATTGCCTGTGTGAGGGTTTCATTCCTGTCCCTCCCCAGGAGCTGACTCGGGGCCAGGGGAGCAGGGAGCAGCCCTTGGTCTGGCTTTGCTGCCATGCCAGTGGGAAGTGGAACTGCCCCATCTGTGGGGCTTCAAATCACTGCAGTAATTTTTACAGGGGACTGGAAAGAAACCCTGTCCCAGCCTGGCAAACCAAAGGGAATAAATAAAGCCATCAGCAGTGGGGTTTGCATGCACTGTGGCTCTCCCTGGAGCTGCTGGAGCCCAGCCCATCCTCAGGGCTCACAGGTGAGCTGACCCCAACCTGTGCAGGGAAAATCCAGCTCAGGGAAAGGCAGGCAATTTATTTTTGACATTCTTAGCAGGGAGGGATCGTTTTGTAAACATGAGCCCACCCTGCAAGGTGCACTGAACTGGCTGGGAGTCAGTGACTAATTACAGAGCTGTCTGCTTCCATTAGTGCCCAGCCCCTGCTCAGCTCCTGGTTTGTATCTCAGGGACAGTTTGGGCACTGGAGCCCTAAAGATGAAATGGAGCTGCTGTTCCTCCTGCCACCTCTACTGCTCCCTTTTCCCAGGAACTGGAGCTCAGGATCTGACAGGGAGCTGTGTCAGATGTGTCACTCCTGCTCTGACAGTGGGGCAGTGGCAGCAGGAGAGAGCAGCTTTGGGAGCACCAGCCCTGAGCCCCAGGTGCCTTTGGAGAAATTCCCTGTGTTCTCCTCAAAGGCTGCCAGCTGAAGAGGGAATTGCACTGGCACAGTTCTGCTTAAAATTTGGTTTTTTTCTGACACTTAGATGTATAAAAAATGTCGTTGGGTTTTTTCCTCTGTGATCGAGGTGGTTATCAGGGCCCCTGGGAAATCATCTGGGTGCCCCCCTCACTCTTCCTTCTCTCCCTTTCCTTTTACTCTCTTTCAAGGGCTTTAAAGAATTGAAGGCATCCAGATTTCCCACTGGCCCTTATGTAACAGGCTGGAGTGTGGGAGGCAGAGCTCTGGGCACAGCTCTGGGCACACCTCAGACATTACCTGGCTGCTGCTTCACGAGCTGAGCCTTTTTTCCTCCCACACCTTGTAGCACTTTGCCTCTCTCCCTTCTTGTTCTTTATCCTCCCCCCTCCAGTTTTTCTTTCCTTGGTAATAGAAGCTTCCAGGATTTAACATTGTTATATATTTACAGCCTTTGCAATTTTACAGTATTATATAAATATTATACAATATTATATAAATATAAGTTTACAGCCTTTACAATTTACAGCCTTATAACAATTTACATTGTTAGAGGTTTTACAGCCTTGCCAGTGCCTAAAGGGGCTGCAGGAGAACTGGGGAGGGGGTTTACACAAGGGCCTGGAGTGCCAGGACAAGGGGGAATGGCTTCCCACTGCCAGAGGGCAGGGTTAGGTTGCATACGGGGAGAAATCCTTCCCTGGGAGGGTGTAAGGCCCTGGCACAGGGTGCCTGGAGAAGCTGGGGCTGCCCCTGGACCCCTGGAAGTGTCCAAGGCCAGATTGGAATAACCTGGGATGGTGGAAGGTGTCCCTGCCCATGGCAGGGTGTGGAACAGGCTTTAAGGTGCATTCCACACACAGACTTCAAGGTCTGTCCCAAGCACTGTGGGGTTCTCTGGTTTGTCCCTGGCCTGCCTTGGGAAGGTTGGGATCAGCTGCAGGGTCTGCATGGGTCACCCCCAGCACACAAACAGCACAGGCCAGGTACTCCCTTGTGAGATCCCCAGGTGCAAATTTAAGCAGACACCACTTGGAACATCCTTTGGATGCCAGGTGGAAGAGAGAGAGACCCTCTGCAGGTGGGGGGAGACGGAGGAGCTGGGTTATGGGGCTGCCTTGGCCCTTGGCAGTGATTTGTCACACTCTGGGCACTTGGGGCAGAGGAAGGTTCCCCTCTCAGCCCAAGGGCAGCCTGCAGGCTCCTGGAGCCTCTGCTGCCCTCAGCCAGAGCTCAGAACTGCTCTGTCCCAGCCTGCCCTGCTGGTTTAGGGAGCAGGTGTAGCTCTGCCAGGTGAGGAGCTGCTTGGTGACCAAGGGGCCCTTTCTCCCAACTTTATATTTAGATGCCTCCAGAAACACGGGAGGAAAAGCAGTAACAGCTTGATCTGTCATTTAGCACTGATTGTGACTCATCTAAAATCTCTATTTTAGCTCTTTTTTGTTGTTAGTGCAACCACTTTAACATTGTCCAAATGGCTGCACTCCCAAGCGGGGCGTTGCACGATCAGGCACCGGCAGGGCTCGGAGGCAGAACAACAAACCCTCGCCCAAAAGCAGCAAAATAAAATGTTCACAGAATTTTGTCGGTTGTTGCAAATGCTTATTAATTTGATTTGTACTTTGAATCTGTCAGTCCCTTCTGCCGAAATACCGAACAGCTGATGTGCTCATTAAATAACAAATTGGAGGAATTGATACAAATGTCAATAGGAAAGAGTGAGTTGGACTCGCTGCTTCCTGAGGGCTCGACTCCTAAAGCTTTGCTTTAAACATTTAGTAAACTTGTAGAGTGTAGAAGCCCCTGGACAATTCAAGAAAAATAACCACAACAGTTATTTGTGGTTATTTTTATTTTGTATTTTTATTTGTAGGGCAGTAACTGTGGGTTTACACCATTAAGTATTTCAGCTCAGGAAACCCAACATTATCCACTTGGCCTTTCCAGGTGATTTGCTTCAGGAGCCTGGAAAAGCAGCAGTTTGACTGGGGATGATTTAGGGAGTCTTTAATTTATTTTGCTTCCTCCCACTTTGATTTCACAAGCCCTTGCAGAGTTCACAGACAGGCAAAAGGGAGCCAAAATGCCCATGTGGGATGTTTTTGAGCTCCTCTCTTGATGTTCCCTGAGATGCCATCAGGTTGTTTGGAGTTCTAATGAATTTTCTCACATCAGATCAAAGACTCGGTGTTGATGGATTGTCATGTGCTGCAGGTTTTGGGGGTTGTTGTGGCTTTTATTTTTCTAGGTGTGAGTTTCAACAGTGTGTATACCCAAATTTGGAGAGTGCTCCTTCACCTGGCTGCTGACCCCTATCCTGACGTGTCCGACCTGGCCATGAAGGTTCTCAACAGCATTGCCTACAAGGTATGTGCCTGTCCCTGCTCACCTGTGCCTGCCAGGTGTTTGGATGTGGATTTTTTCATGCTTAGGCAAGGCTTAGGCAGACTGACCTGGATGGGTCTGTTGGAGGGCTCTGCCTTTAGCAGAAGGAGCTTTTAATGCTTCACAGTGATAAACTCTGCTCTGAACTCTGATCAGGTAAAATGAATAAATGGGGGAGGGCCCGGGCTTGTCTTAGGGTATAAATGAGGTGCAGACCTCGGACAGTAGGTCCAGTTTAGAGGTCTACTTGTCTAGATCAGTCCCTGGGATAAACCTTAAGTATCCTTCATTAAATTATCCGTTTGCAAACTGATTTAGATAATGCAAGTGGGACTGGCCTGCAGACTGAAGCCACAACGGCTCTCCAACCCAGGTGAACTAGTACATGTGAGTCAGCATGCAGACCCCTGCCACTCCTCACCCCAGCCCAGGCTGGGTGCCTAAACCTCCATCCTCATCCCATCTCATCCTGGGGGTGGCAAGATGTCCCTGGAGGTGACACCCTGGGGCAGCAGCTTCCCCCTGCCCAGGCCAGGCCACCCCAGGACATCTTCTCACCCTGTGTGTCCCCTGGCTGGGCACAGAAAGCTCTGTGTGAACCTTTCTGGCCTCTCAAGCATCCAGACCATGAACCATTGCAATGGGAACTCTCTTACTGGGCCTTTCCAGGGAATAACCCCAGATCCTCAGCCCAGGGCTGTGGAGCTGGAGCTGCAGTAAGAGATGCCAGCATTGTGCACTGCCATCTTAAAGCCTCAGAGGTCTCTGCTTTGAAATGACTTTTTCTCTTGAGACAATAGTTACCGAGTTGAACTCTGATTGTTTGAAGTGCACATGGCAGTGAGTGGTAAGGGCTGGGTTTGGGACAGAGGATTCTCTTGGCAGTGGGGGCAGCAAGCTCAGCCCTTCCCTGGAGAGACAGGGGTGCAGCAAATGACAGGCTGGAGATGCCAAATGGTGGCAAGAAGGAAAGGAAAAGGTGGAAGATTTCCCTCTCTCTGCTCTAGATGCATGAAACTCTTTCAGTTCTGTGTTTGGTAGGCTCTTTGCAAAATGAAGTGTTGTCTCCTACTGTTAAAAGGGATATAAAGAGGAAGCAGTTGTGCTTTTCCTGACTGAAATGTGTTTTCAGGAGTTGCTCCCTGGCCAGTGGAGAGGTGGATCAGTATCAGTATTGGTGTCCATGCTGCTGAGCCAGCAGGAGCTGTGATCATTCTGTTGTCCCATCCCTAGGGAATGCTGGGGCTGATGGGGGAATTCTGTGTTGCCTCTAACGAGTGTGGGCCTGGCTGTGCTGGTGCTGACCCGAGTCCCAGAGCTCAGGCTCTGGGGGTCTCCTGCATCTCCCCCTGCACGGCTGGGCCAGCTGCTCTGCCCCTGCTTCCTAAGGCAACGGCTCTTCCAACAGGCTTGGAAAACAGGAAGCATTCCCATGGACAAGGGCACTGATCTGGGGATGCTTCAGGGAACAAAAGTGATTTGTTCTCCTTTGCCTTAGCCCCGAGACCCCTGAGAAAAGCGTTCGCTCCCGGGGTCGTGCTGCGCATGTCGGGGGCTTTGCTTTGGCCACCACCACCTGCCTTGGGTGCCTTCTAACGAGGCTTTGTGATGAAAACAAAACCCCCAGAACACAACCACGCAGCCTGTGAGCTGCCCAGCACAGTGGGCTGTAAGGCTCAGACCCTCCCTGGCTGTTCCTGGCCCCGTTCTGTGAGCGGTGCCGCAGGACCACGAGAGCTCCGGGCTCTGTGGGAGCTCAGGCACGAGCTGATGCTCAGGCCAGTGTCTGATGCAAATCAGGGACAATTAAATCCTTGCTAACTGTGTCCTGAGACCTTTCCTTCGTGCTGCTGGAGCTTGTTGGATGTAGAAAGGAGTGCTGGACGTGGGCACTGCTCCTCCCCGGTGTGTGCAAGCACTGCCTGCTCGGGGGTTGAGTTTTACCAGTGAATGCAAACAAAAATTCTTTTTCTTGCTTAAACAAAAATACTGCCTCAGGTGATGTAAAACACTTGAATGTTCCAGGGGTTTCATATTTTGGTTTCATTACTGTAAAATTCAGGGAAGGAGAGGCTTCATTTTGGAGCTGGGCCAGCTGAGGTTTTCTTCCATTGGCAGAGCTGAACAGAGCACAGCTCGGGTCTGGGGGAGCTGGCTGGGGCTGGGGGCTTCAGTGGGAACAGCTGGGCTGACTCTCCATGGGCTTCCACATCTGGAGAGTGCTGGGGAACTAAAGATTGCAGAACCATGGAATGGCTTGGGTGGGAAGGGACCTTAAAGCTCATCCCATGGCAGGGACACCTTGCACTGTCCCAGGGTGCTCCAAGCCCTGTCCAGCCTGGCCTTGGGCACTGCCAGGGATCCAGGGGCAGCCACAGCTGCTCTGGGGACCCTGTGCCAGGGCCTGCCCACCCTCACAGGGGAGAATTTCTTCTGGCTGTTCCATCCAACCCAGCCCCTCTGGAGCCATTCCAAAGCCCCTGGACACGTTCCTGTGTCACTGGCTCCAGGTGGCCCTGCCTTGGCAGGGGGCTGACCTGGGTGATCTCCAGAGGTCCCTTCCAAGCCCAGTGTTCTGTGATTCTGTGACTGCTGTTATCAAACGAGACCAGAGTGTCCTGCTCAGGTTTTTCCTGGAGCCAGGCTGTGGCTCTGTTTCTCCAGAAGGGCTCTGGGGCTGTGCTGGGTGTGAGCAGCCGGTGTGTGGGCTGCCCAGGCGTGCAGCCTTCCTGCAGGAATCTGCTGCTCTTCTGTTCCCCGGGCTCATTAGGCACTGCTGGGCCTCTCCCAGGCTGAGGCTGCCCTGGGATTTGTGTTTATGCTGCAGATGGGAATGGTGCAGTTCTCCTTCCTGGCCTGAGCCTTGGAAAATGCCCAGACCTGCTTTTTGTGAGCACCAAAACAAACAGCAAGGACCCAGGGTCCAGTGCTGGCCTCTAGAGACTTCCTGAAATCAAAAAGTCTTAAGAGGAAGGTTTGCTTCAGCCCAGGTTGCTTTGTCCAGGTGTTTTTAATGGAAGGCTTGAGGCTGAATTACAGAATCACAGAATCATTTAGGCTGGAAAAGCCCTCTGAGCCCATCCAGTCCAACCATTCCCCCAGCACAGCCAAGGCCACCACTGACCATGTCCCCAGGTGCCACATCCACATGGCTGTTAAATCCCTCCAGGGGTGGGGACTCCACCACTGCCCTGGGCAGCCTGTGCCAATGTCTGACAGCCCTTTCCATGAAGAACTTTTCCCCAATATCCAACCTGACCCTCCCCTGGCACAACTTGAGGCTGTTTCCTCTTGTCCTGTTGTCCCCTGGGAGCAGAGCCCAGCTGCCCCCTCCTGTCAGGGCGTTGAGCAGAGCCTGACCCCCCTGAGCCTCCTTTCCTCCAGGCTCAGAACGTGCTTTACGATTTATGGGAGCTGCAGGACTCAGTCCTGAGGTGGGAGGGAAAGGCTGGTGGCTGTGGGGGCACTGAGGGGAGCCCAGCCTGTCCCCCTGCCCTGTGTTTGGGCTGCTGGGCAGCTCCTGGCTGCAGGCAGCAAAGGCACTCTCGGGTAAGTGTTCCTGCCTGAGCCAGCAGTGGAAGCAGCTGCTGTTGGGAGCAGCCTGGGGGCTTTGTTTTGCCCCCCAGCCACAGAGAACTCCCTCCCTGCCCTGCCTGGCTGTGCCAGGGCCGTGCCAGCTGCTCAGGCTCCCTGTGTTGTCCCCAGGCCACGGTCAACGCTCGCCCCCAGCGCATCCTGGACACCTCCTCGCTGACCCAGTCGGCCCCTGCCAGCCCCACCAACAAGGGGATGCACATCCACCAAGTGGGGTAAGTGCAGCTCGGCCTTCCAGCACCTTCTGGGGTGGGGTGGGTGCTCCCTGCCCAGCCCCATGCCAGGGAGCTGCCCAGGGACAGGGAATGGGGCTGGCAGCAGTGATGAGGTGTCCAGGAAGGAAAGCTCTGGGAAAAGGTGGGAGTTTCTTCCTGTTTTCCTTTAGGGCAAAGAGTAACAAGCCCACTGGGTATGTAACTGAACTGAAAGGAAGAGCTGCTGCTTGGCTGCTTTTACCTTTCCTGAGCTGTGGTGCCCAAATTCCCAGTGACGTCTGAGCTGTGCCTGCTGCACTTGGAGCTGATAAAAGCTGGGGTTAACTGATGGACAAAACACCCTGCCTGAGCAGCAGGGAAACAGAGAGTGCTGGGGGCAAAGCTGGGGGCTGAAAATGGGATTATTTCCCAAAACAACTGTCCTAGAGAAAACACCACACGTTAGATCTGCTGGTCCCTTACCCAGTGTGCACCAGTGAGATTCCAAGAGAGGACCCAGGTTAAATTCAAATGGTCTGAACTTCAGTTCCCCCATGGAAATGCAGTCCCTGGGCAGGGTGACTTAGGTCAGGCATCACAGATTGCCAGAACATTGAGGTTCATCCCCTCAGTGTGGCACAGCCAGAGTTCACTCTTGGTTTGGGGTGGGTTTGGCCTTTGGAGGGGATGTGGGAACTGTGATGTTTCTGCAGAGGAGGCACCACAGCGAAACACAGATCTTGTCAGAAGGAAACAAAGTGAAAAGAACATAATGCACAGTAAATCTCATGTGCAGCAATACCCAGAGCCTGTCCCCCGTTCTGCCCCTCAGAGGGTCCCCTCCAACCACGAGCACGAGCAGCTCCAGCCTGACCAACGAGGTGCCCAAGCAGCCGGTGAGCCGGGACCTGGCGTCCGTGCGCCCCAGCGTCACCAACGTGGGGGTCCAGTACACCCCCCACTCCCACCAGTTCCCCAGGACAAGGAAAATGTTTGACAAAGGCCCAGAACAGGTAAGGACACTGCTCTGATAGCTCTGACAGCTTCTCCCCACTGGGGTTTGTCCCACTTTCTGTTGGTTGTGGTTTATTTCTGTGCATCCCTCGTTTGCTTCCAGCTGCTGCTAATCCACATTGGCTGCCTCTAAGCAGCCAAATAAAAATTGATTAATTTATTTTCTTCAGGATAAATTGTGTTTTACAGCTTTTGATAGGGCATTATTCACTTCTGCCACTAAGCAATGTGTCTAATCAGAGTCCATGGCTCACTCCTCTGTAAACATTTGTGTGCCTGAGTGACACCCCAGAGTCAGATCCCTGACCCTCGGGGCTCTCCAGCCCTGGCAGAGCAGGGACAGGGGACAGCTGTGATCATAAGCCCCAGCAGCAGCAGCACCTTCCCTTCTCTGGGGTTTGGCAGCACCAGGATGGTATTTCTGAAAGCTGGAACCTGAGGGAATGGAGCAGCTTTTCCCTTGGGGTGTCCTGTGCTGTGTGACAGACACTCATCCACCTTGGCACAAGCTGTGTCTGGATCCTGACTCATCCTCGCTGCTCCCTGCACCACATCCCTGGGACAGAACTGCTGGGACCTCCCTGAGGTGTCTTGGGGCTGCTCCAGCCCAGAGCCTGCAGCTGAGGAATGTGCACCTTTCCAAGGAGCAACCATAACCCCCGATCCCAGAGCTGGCTGTGCAGTTCCCTGTCCTGGGCAGTCTGTTTGAGGGTTTGGTGCCTGCCTGGGCCAGGGGGCTGTCCCTGGGGCATCCCTGCAGGTGGTGAGCCCTGTTCCCTCCCCACAGACAGCTGATGATGCTGATGATGCCGTGGGACACAAGAGCTTCATCTCGGCCTCGGTGCAGACGGGGTTCTGCGACTGGAGCGCCAAGTACTTCGCCCAGCCCGTCATGAAGGTAACCCTGCTGGGCTGGCTGGGCCCTGCCAGCCCTGCCCTTGCTCCCTCCCCTGTCCTGGGCAGGCACAGGGATGGATCTCACTGCATCTAACCCTGCTGGGCCCTGCCCTTCTCCCTTTTCTTTCCTGGGGAGGCACAGGAATGGATCTCACTACATCTAACCCTGCCAGCCCTGCCCTTCTCCCTTTTCTTTCCTGAGGAGGCACAGGAATGGGTCTCCTTCCATCGTGCTGCTCTGTCAGTGACAGTGACCAGAGGGAGCACAAGGGTGGCTGGGGTGGGACAGGCAGAGCCCGGGGGAAAGCTCAGCTCCCCATGGAGCACTGCCCACAGAAAACGTAGGAATGAGGAGAGGTTCTGTGTCACATCCCCCAGTTTTGCCTGGTTGCACGGCAGAGTTGTTCCATCTGAAATGTTGTGCTTCTCTGCATATAGAAAATTGCATTATAGCTAAAATGAATTGGTTTTTAAAGTAAATAAATGGAATAATGAAGGCCCTTGAAAGGGCAGTGAGAGGCTGGAGAATGAGAGATGGTTTTCTTTCTGACATTGCAGCTGAATCTCCTGGCTGTGGTAAAAGAGGCAGAGCAGTGCTGGGGGGAGGCCAGCAGGACAGACCCTCTGGCCTGGGACTGGGGAGCTGTGCTCTGCTTCCAGCACAGGCACCTTTAACTCGCAGAGGAGAAAGTGAGAGTGGCTGCATGCCCACGAGTGCCTGGGGGAAGCTTGGGGAGCATTATTTCTGGGGTTTAAAGTTTAAAGAAATGTAAGAAGTTGTGTTATAGCGAAGAATAAGGGTGGTAATGACAAATTTACATCCAGGTCTCTTCAGAAGTGACTTGTTTGGGTAACTAAATTATCTCTGTGTGAAGTGAGAGAGAAACGGAAACCTTGTTCCAGGAAAAACACAAACCAGAGCTCTTAAGAGATGGGCAAAGATATCAGTGACTGGAAAGAGAAGCTGTTAAATTCCCAGAATGTTTTAGCTGTTAAATTCCCAGAATGTTTTAGCCAAAGCTCAGGTTTCAGGTTTAAGTATGAAACAGGAGGAGCAGTAAATCTCCCTCATTAAAGGCAACTTTCAGGTGCTCTGGGAGTCTCAGGGAGCCCAAAGGTGTCAGGACTTTGAGCTCCGTGTCTTGGAGGGGGTGCCATGCCCGGCAGGGATGGTGCCCAGCTCCATTAATGCCTCCCCCCAAGGGATGTTTGTGTCCCAGCACTGCTGCTGAGATAATGAGGAAATGGTGTGGGTTTAGTGCTGCCTCTTCGGGAGGGGGCTGAGCCATCACCATGGAGCGTTCAGGTGCTGGGGTGAGATAATTGCCCAAGTTTAAGGCTATCAGAGCAGGGCAGGCTCTTGATTTCCAGAGGGAATCACCGGTGCAGCATTGCCTGACACTTCCTCAGCTGCTGTGAAATTCCCTTTCTGCTGAAACCACCGAGTGATTCCTTAGGGCACATCTGGGATGTGGGGCTGGGCTGCCTGGCCAGGCTTCCACCAGGGCTTTTTCTCCTCAAGATGAGCTCCAGAGTCTTGAGTCAAGCCCAGACCAGAGCACAAGAGGAGGAAGATGATGTTTGAGCTCTTAGTTCTTATTAAAATCATTTGTCTGCTCGCTAAGAAAACCTCTTCCCAGGGAAGAGGGGGGGGTCTTTATTAATAAAATAAATCAGAGTAGGCAGCCAGGCACGGGCAGGGGCAGTGGGGACATGGGGAGCTCTGTGGGGGAGTGGCTTTACTACTATTTCTACTTCCTGCACATAAAATAGACTAAATTGCTAGAGGGGAGGCAATAAAAAACGTGGAGCATTCCTGTACTATTTCACAGCAGCCAGGGAGGGGTGGCATGGGAAGGGGGTTTTCTGTGTCCCAGGGAGCAGGAGCAGGACACAGCCCTGGCTCTGGAGGAGCTCCTGAGCTGGGAATTCCAGCTGGTGAATTCCTGGGTGAAGCTTGAAGGGAACAAAATCTGTGTTTTCTAATCACACAAGGGAGAGAATTGATCTCCCTGTAACTTCTGCAAAGCAGCGTTGGGAGGCCAAGGAGAGGGAGGTTTTTGCAGGTGTTACCCTGTCCTAACAGGGAATTGTAGGTGACTTTGGGGCTGGACTGGCTGCTGTGTGTGCAGGGACTGGAGAAGTCTCTCGGGGAGAACTTTCTCTGAGGTTTCTTGGCTGGAAGTCAGGAGTGACAGCTCGGGTGTGCCTGAGTTTCCATGGAGTCCCTGTTCCTGCAGCAACAGGGAACAGTCCTGGCTGGTGGCTGCTGCCTTTTGGGAGCTTCAGCCTCATGAAAAAGGCAGAGTGAAGTGTACCAAGTACTGATGGAAAAATGACATTGATGCTTAATTCCAGCCGTTCTTTTGGAGCTGCTGCCTGCCTTCATAAACAGGGAAAGACAAGACAACTGTTCCTGTAATGAATAAACATAAAATGACTGTGAGTGCATCTTAGTCATATTTAATTGATGAATTTAGTTGTGCTTCATGGACCTTGCCCTGAGAATGCTATCACTGGAAAGACTGAGGGATTAATTTCCAGTGTAAATCAGGGGCTCTGTTTCAAGCCATCACTCCAGGTTTGATTTATTGATTATCTAATCAAATAAACTGAGAGGGAAAACGCTGCACTGTAAATTCTCCTTGTGCCAGGAGAAGCAGGTCCCTGCCCCAGCTCTGGGCTCTGCAGAAGCTTTTCCTCTTCCTGCAGCCCCTGGTGGCTCAGGGCTGTTCTGGGAGCCCCGGGGCGCAGGAAAGCCTCGGTGCCAGCTGTCAGGAAGTCCTGAGGCAGGGAGAGCGGGAGCCAGCATCTGTTGTTTCCAGGGCTGGCAGAGCATGCAGGCAGGAGCTGGGAAGGATCCTGGAAGGTGAGAATTACATAAGCAGCCCTCCCTGATAAATCCCTGCCGGGGCTGCTGGGCTGTGCCTTGGCCCCGGGTTCTGGGAGAGGAGTGGGATCCTGCAGGGCTGGTGAGCAGGGAGAGCTGCATTGACCTCTGGAGCCTTGTGCCAAGGGCTCCCTGCTCCCCTCCTGGCACCCACTGCCACAGGGAGAGGGAGAGACCCATGAGAGAAGGAAAACTGCTGGGAGGGCTCAGCTGCTCCCTGCTCCCTGGATGTGGAAGGATCTGTCATGGTCCCCATCCTGCTGGGCTTGGTGTTTTCATAGATCCTCCCTCTGGGCAGGATGATCCCCAGAGCCCCACAGCTGGGTGGGTGTGGGGCCAGGACAGCCTTTCCCTGCCTGCTCTGACTGGGCAGGATGATCCCCAGAGCCCCACAGCTGGGTGGGTGTGGGGCCAGGACAGGCTTTCCCTGCCTGTTCTGACTCTGCACTCGTGGGCCAAGGGTTCTTCCTTGGGCTTGCTTTAATTTACTCCCAGAGAAGCTGGATTTTCATTAAGGTGTAGGTGTCATCTCTCCCCTCTCAAATTCCTTTGATGTATTTTAGCTCAGGTTTGTTTATTGCTTTTCATTAGGGGTCGTTTGTCATTGCTTGTCTAATAGGTGTTGTGCTGAAATAAAGTGCTTTTTTCTTTGCCTGGAGGAAAGGTGGAGGGTGGGCTTCTTTTTCTTTTTTTTTTTTTTACAGAAGCAGAAGTCCAACTCAGTAACAGCTGTTTTCTTAAGGATAGCATTGTTTGGAGGCAGTGTTTGTAATAGTGACAGATTATTTAAGTACTTTCTTATTCATGGAAAACAGGGATTTTTTTCTAGGGAATTTGTCTTCCTGCTCCAAGAGTTACTCCTTTGGAGCAGCCAGCACCAAAGGAAGCTGGATCAGAACCCTGCAGCTCAGCTCCTTAATTGATCCAAGGATGGTTCTGGAGCAGGGGAGTCTTGGATAATTTTTTAAGTATGAAAAACACCTCATCTATAGCTCCTGCCACGGTTTGGGGTGAGATCTTAGGAGTTTATTCCTTTTGATCCTGAATAAGGTGGGAATAGCCATGGTGGGAGCAGCCCTGGGGCTGGCCTCGTGCCTGGAGCACAGGTTTTGTAGGGGAGCCATGGAGTGCTGAAACCTGGAGCTGTGGGGTGTGAATAAATATCATCAAATGGCTCAGGGTTGCTGTGACTGCAGGGCCACTCTCCAGTTTCAGGGGGAATTTTGTATATAATCAAAGCCAGGTGACACAGGGGCATCGTTTGCAGACCAGGGAACCAGAACAGGGCTGTTCCTGGTAAATGATGGTGGGAACCTGAACATCCCAGGGATTTGGGAATGTAGCCATGCCCTGCTCAGCCAGCAGCCCTGGATTAGCAGGAAAAGAAAGATTTCAGTGTGTTCTGAGCTGGCTGTAGCAGGGCTGTGCTCCCTCTTTGATCTTGGTGTTGCTACGTGATGCTCCTCAGCTGAGGAGAGCAGAGGGAAATCTGTGTCCTGAGATCTGAGACCCGCAGCACTCAGAGGGGACAGGAGCTACTATGGCATCACTCAGCCAACTGCTGCCCTTCTGGGGGTCACTGGTCCTGTGTGTGTGTCTGTCTGTCCTGGCAGATCCCCGAGGAGCACGACCTGGAGAGCCAGATCCGCAAGGAGCGCGAGTGGCGCTTCCTGCGCAACGCCCGCGTCAGGAAACAGGCCCAGAAGATCATCCAGAAGGGTGAGTGCTGCCCTGCTCAGGGCAGGCTGTGAAACCCCAATTAGCCTTGCTCTCAATTAGAGATGGCCCTGTGCAGCCCCTCAGGCTGCTGAGGGCAGGGCAGCTGCTGCTGCTGCGGGTTTATCCCAGCTGCTGCTGCAGATGTTTCCAGCTGCTGCAGGTGTTTGCTTCCCTGCTGCTGCTGCAGGTGTTTCCAGCTGCTGCAGGTGTTTGCTTCCCTGCTGCTGCTGCAGGTGTTTCCAGCTGCTGCTGCAGGTGTTTCCTTCCCTGCTGCTGCTGCAGATGTTTCCAGCTGCTACTGCAGGTGTTTCCTTCCCAGCTGCTGCAGGTGTTTGCTTCCCAGCTGCTGCTGCAGGTGTTTCCTTCCCAGCTGCCTCTGCAGGTGTTTCCAGCTGCTGCTGCTGCAGGTGTTTCCAGCTGCTGCTGCCCCACTCCAGCTGCTGCTGCTGCAGGTGTTTCCAGCTGCTGCTGCAGGTGTTTCCCTGCTGCTGTCCCAGCTCTCTGCTCTCAGCTGCTGGCTGTGGTCACCAGCTCAGCCTCTGCTGTTGAGGGGATGGGAGGTGCAATGCTGGAGGGTCAAATCCAGAGCTGCAGGCTCAGGGTTTGTGGGACAGACGTGGTCATGGCAGAGTGTGGAGCTGCTGGACCTGTCCCCCCAGCTCAGGAGACACCTCAGGGATGTCTCTCACATTCCCTGCTCTGCTGAGCTCTGTAAGTGCTGGTTTGCTCCTTATACCCCATTTTATTTGGGATATTTGTGTGTGCTGCTCCCAAGGTGCCTCATGTCCATGCTGTGTCAGCAGGAGCTCCCCAGGAACCTGAGGCTCAATCTCTGAGGCAGCTTTGGGCTGGAATTCTCTGAGCACAGGAATTTATTCTAATAAAGTGGCACCTAATGAAGCTCCCTAAGGAATTTGCATCCCTCAGTTTTTCCCTGCCCTGAGCAGCAGAGGCTGGGGAGCCACAATTCAGGAGCTCCTGGTGTCCTTCCCATGTCCTCCTGGGCTGGGGGCTGCTCCTCCCAGGGATGCTTTTGGAGGCACACAGGGCTGGAAATCCCAGTGTTCTGAAGGAAAAGTGCCCAGGGCTCAGCCCTGTCACTGGGAGGCTGCTCCTGTGGAGCTTCATGCCAGGAAACTGCAGAATATCATCAACCAGAGAAGTACAGAAATGATCCTGGAGCCCAGGAGATGGCCTGGGAGATCTGATGGAATACAAAGAAGGGGATTTTTCATGCTTGCCTGGAGAAGTTAAATCTCTTTCTAGACAGTGTTCATATTTGGTTGCTTGACCTGAGTGACTGAAATGCCTCTATTCATTAAAAAAATAATGAAAATGTGAAATATTAAAAAGAATTAAAATAGACTTACAAGCTTTTAATGAAAATTAGATTCAATGGATGCATTCTAAAACAAACTGGGGTTGAATGGATGTCTCCTGGGTTTAGGGGTTTGTGTGATGAATTCAGAGAGTGCCAGAACCCAGCAGTGTCTGGGTCCCAGCACTGTTTGTGAATAGCAAACTGCTCTGAAGACAAGATGGGAAAAGTCTTTACCCATCATTTTAACGTCTCCATGGAAAATACATTTTTCATTTGCAAATTAACCTAAAATTTAAGGGAACTCAAATGGAAGATTAAATAAATAATCCACAAGCTGCAGTGAAATGCTGTATTTAAAACTGAAAAAAGGCATTTTCAAATTTTATATTTTGAAGAAATAGTGTTGATTTTTTCCCTCAACACAAACTGGCATTTCTCTGGGTGTGGCTGGGCTTGTTCTCCTTGCTTGCCAGTGTGAAGGATGAAGGGTTTGTCACCACAGTTCTTGGTTTGCACCTCAAGAGCTGAAGGTGCCTCAAGCTGGGGACGTCTGAGAAACTCCTGGAGGGAGGGGAGGGCGGGGGTGTCCTGGTGGAACTGGGGTGGGTGCCTGGTGGCCCTGGGGAGCTGGGGCTGTGCAGAGCCCATCCCTGGGGCCATCAGGGTGAGCTGAGCTGGTGCTGTCCCCGCAGGCATCTCCCGGCTGGACGATCAGATCTTCCTCAACAGGAACCCGGGCGTGCCCTCCGTGGTGAAGTTCCACCCCTTCACCCCCTGCATCGCTGTGGCTGACAAGGACAGCATCTGGTGAGGGCTGGGGACATGGGTGTCACAGCAGGACAGCTGGGTCCCTGTCCTGGCTCTCTCTCAGCAGGTGGAGGTGCTGAGATCCTGCCCTGGCAGGGTGGGCAGCCCTGGCACAGGGTGCCCAGAGCAGCTGTGGCTGCCCCTGGATCCCTGGCAGAGCCCAAGGCCAGGTTGGACACTGGAGATTGGACACCCTGGGACTCTGGGCTGTCCCTGCCATGGCATGGGTGGCACTGGATGGGCTTTGAGGTCGTTGCAATCCAAACCATCCATGATTTCGTGATGTGTTATTAATCAAACAATGCCAAACTCCAAAGGAGAAATCCCAGACTGGATAACAAGTGCATCTCTACAGCTGGTACAGAGAACTGAAAGCTCACGTGCTCTTTCTTCCTCCCACAGTTTTTGGGACTGGGAGAAGGGGGAGAAGCTGGACTACTTCCACAACGGGAACCCTCGGTACACGCGGATCACGGCCATGGAGTACCTGAACGGGCAGGACTGCTCCCTGCTGCTCACTGCCACAGGTAAGGGACACTCAGGACACTGTCCCACTGGCCTTGGCTCAGGTCCAGTCCAGCTGAGCTGATCTGGACTCTGTTCTCTCCCCTCCATGGACTGATCCCAGCCCAGTCTTCCCCCCTGCCCTGCCTGCTCTCGGCTCAGGAGGCATTGCCAGGCTCAGACTTGCAGCTTCTTCCTGGCACTGAAATCTCTCAAGCAGACTTTCCAAGGACTGACCAGTCCAACACTTGCTGAAGCCATTCCCATCTGAGTCCTTGCAAGGCTGTGGTCACCCCCTCCCGTGGCACACCTGGGGAGAGGTGATTTCAGAGCTGAAACTGCAGCAGCCAAAACGCAGGAGCTGCAGTTCTGTTCCTTGTGCTGTGTTCACATAGAGCAGGCAGGGCTCAGCCTCAGCACCAAACCCCTCAGGTGGGTCTGAGTTTCTCTCCAGCCCATATCTCACCTGAGCAGGGGGCTGTTGAGGAGATCTTGCCCAGTCTCTGGTCTGCAAAGCTGTGAGTCAGATCTGCTCCTCTCCCAAGGAACCATTCCAAACACTCAGAGTGTTTTCAACAGCTTCTCCAGCTCCCTGCTCAACTATACAGGTTGGGTGTAATTAAGGGAGGGGGAAGGGGAGCTGAGAGAGCCTTTAGGACATATTTCTTTCAATTTATTGATTCTTAGCACAAAAGTTTCACAGATGGGGAGCAAATTGAAAAAAAAATACACAATGTTCTTGAAAGATTTGCTGCTGATGGGCTGGGCTTTGATGCTGCTGCCTCTGTGGGGCTGTTTGTGTTGAGTGGGTACTTGTGTGGCCCTCGGCACCAATCCAGAGATGAATCCTGGAGAAAATGAATGTCAAGGAAATGGAGAGACATTGAATGTCAGGTGTTGTTCAAGGGAGGAGAAAAGCTCTTCCAGAACAGCTCCAGTGGAACAAAGCGTTAGGTTCCGTGGATGTAAATTAGAGAGGGAAAACAACTCCAGCAGAAAGTGTTCAAGTGACACTCTGGCTTTGGGGTCTGTGTGACTTCAGCTCTGCTTCTCCTCTTCTTCCTGGTGCACAAGGAGCTGCAGGAGCTGCACCAGCAGTGACTTTGCTTTGTGTTCTTTCCCTGTGCTCCCCCAGACGACGGTGCCATCAGGGTGTGGAAGAACTTTGCAGACCTGGAGAAGAACCCAGAGATGGTGACAGCCTGGCAGGGGCTGTCAGACATGCTGCCAACCACACGAGGTGGGTGCCACTGACCTGTCTGGGGGGAAGCTGGAAATCAGCCTTTGTGCAGCTTTCTGGGTGGCACCTGTGACCTCCTTTAGCCCCAGCTCCAACTTTGGCTCTTGTTCTTCCCTGTTTATTGTGGGTCAGGAGGTGGCAGAGGGACGTGTGGTCTAAATCTGGCACATGCAGAAGGACAGCACAGTGAGACATTGGCCTGCTTGGAATGTTAGCAGAACTGGGCAGAAATGGGTGTAAAAAGGAGCATTGGCATCCAGCCACACATGGGATGAAGCCAGAAAACCAGTTTGTGTAACCCTGAAATCTGTTTTAGGACATTATGGGAGGTTTTGGGATGTTAAAGGAGGTTTTGGGATATTAAGGGAGGTTTTGGGATATTAAAGGAGGTTTTGGGATATTAAAGGAGGTTTTAGGATGTTAAAGGAGGTTTTGGGATATTAAAGGAGGTTTTGCAGCATTCCAGGTGGTGGATGTTCCCTCCTTCCCAGACCCATCAGGTGCTAATGCTCCAATGGCAGTTCTGTGTCCCTTGAATATTTCTAATCAAGGCTGCAGCTTTTCCTGGGTGTGCTCTGGTGCAATCAGCACTTTGGGATTGATGAGGAAGTGCTGGAGGAGGCCCGTGCTGTGCAGGAGGTCAGATGAGATGACCATCATCATTCATCCTGACCTTAAAAGCTGACAGTTCTCATTTCTGAGCTGATGTGGTTCATCCCAGGAGCCTGACACAGCTCTTTCAGCTATTCATTGGATTTCCTGGGGCTGCCTGTGTGTGTTGTTCTCCGCAGCCCCTCTGCTGTGTCTCAGGGAGCAGGGGCTGTGTTTGAGGCTCTGCCTTGCTGAGGGCACTGCCCAGGACTGGTGAGGAGCTGCTGGAAATCAGAGCCTGCTGTGCAAATGGCAGAGCCTGCCCTTTCCAGGGTGGCAGCAGGGGCTGCTGTGAGCAGGCAGGGCCTGGCTCTGCTCGGGCACAAGGAGCCCAGGAGTGGTGACAATTGCCCTCTGTGCTGTCACTCTGGAGCTCTGTGCTGCTGATTTGCAGCTTTGCTGGCTGCTGGGTGATGTTTCCCATCCCTGCATTCAGGATCTGCCTCCTTGGAGCTGGGAATGCCCCGGGCTGCTGCTGGGCAGGGAGGATGCTGGGCTGGAGCTGCCTCAGCCCAGTGCTACTGTCCTGCCCTCCCTTCCATGGGCACTGTTCCAGGGCACAGCCTTTGCTGCTTGTGCCTCACTCTGGACAGGGTTTGACACCCGGGAAGGATTTTCAGTGTCTGACACTGCAGAGGAGAGAACTCTGAGAGCTGGGTGGTTCCATTTGCCAAAACAGGACTGGGGAAACTTTTAAATCTGTTCTCTTTAGGACTGAGGTTTTTTCCCCTTGGCTTTTTCTTTCCCTTGTGGACTGAAGCAGTCTGGGGCCTGTTTTCTTTGCCTTCCACCCTCCCAGCAGATTGGGCAGCAGAGAAGGACAGATCTGTTTGTGGAGAGAGAAATAAATGTAGCCACTTCAAAAGAGCTAAGTGGAGCAAGTCCCCGTGGAGATGAGAGTCTTCAGAGTCATCTGCTGCCAAGACCACAGCCGTGGTCCAGCACTGCCTCACAAAACTGAGGATGCATTTTGAAGCTGCAGAGCTCAGGAGTTTTACTGGAGTTTGGTTGCTCCCACTATTGATTTCCTTCCTCTTCTCCCAGCTTTTCCCCTGTGTCATAATGTCACATTCACCTCTGAACTGTGCTTGAGAACAGCCAGAACTTGACTTTCAGGGCCATTTCCACACTTAGAGAAGGAGAGAGGAATATGCAATCCCTAAACGCATCCTTTGGAAGCTTGGGAGCAGCCCTGGGTTGTCTGAGGTGGACAGTGACACGCTCAGGGGCTGCCTGAGAGGGAGAGCAGCCCAGGGCAGGCACAAAGCTTGCACATTTCCTCTGGGAGGGCAGAGCTGAGCTGGCACAGCTGCTTCCCTGCTGCCCCCCCAGCTGTGGGCACACAAACCCTGACCCCTGCCAGCAGCCCCAAGCTCCCATGGGTCTGTACAGCTCCAAATTGCTCCTTGGTGTCTGTCTGTCTGTCTGTCTGTGCTGGGAGCAGGGCACAGGAGGGCTCCTTGTCCCTGCAGAGCTGTCAGCCAGAGCCTGCTGCACACAGGCTGCTGCCTTCCCAAAACTGCTGTGCTGCAGTGAGTGAGGGAGGCATGTGCTGCTCTGGCTGCTGCTGCTGCTCCTCTTTCACATTCCTCCATTTGAGTTGTTTCTAGTCCCTGTTTTGAGCTGGGTTTTGCTCTGGCTGACTGGCCCTGAGCAGCACCCCCTGATCTCTGTCTCCCCACAGGTCTGGCCCGAAGGGTGTCCATCTATCTGGACAGAAGCAAGCAGGGAGGTGAGTGCTGCTGCTGTTCCCCGTGCTCAGGGGGTGGGCAGGAGCTCTGTGGGGTGGGTGGTTGGGGTTTTGGTGTGGTTTGGGGGATCTCTGGCTCCTGGGAAGCTTTGCTTCACCTCTGCCATGCCCTGCCCCGTGTCTGTGCCCGTGAGGAGGGCAGGGAGGGATCTGTGCTCCCTGGGCAGGCCCAGCCCTGCTGGGGCAAGGGAGTCTTCCTGTCAGCCTCTCTGAGCTCCCTCAGCCACAGGAGGTGGGGGGATTTGGGAGCCTCTCTTTTCCAGGGGCCTTTCAAAGCAGAAGGGTTTGAGAGGGAGATTCCAAATGGAGCCTGATAAGCTGCTGTGGGTTTGGCTGGGGTTTATTTGTAAAGATCCTGTGGAAAGGAGATGCTGGGGAGTCTTTCCCAGCAGCCTCAGAATCGTGGACCCTTGGCAGAGATAAGCCAAAGAGGAAAGAGGGAAGTGTAGGTTGGATCCATGGCAGTAATTCTTCCCTGGGAGGGTGGGCAGGCCCTGGCACAGGGTGCCCAGAGCAGCCCCTGGATCCCTGGAAATGCCCAAGGCCAGGCTGGGAGCAGCCTGGGACAGTGGAAGGTGTCCCTGCCACGGCAGGGGTGGCACTGGATGGGCTGTGCCCAACCCAAATCCTTCTGGGATTCTGTAACAAATGTCACAAATTCCACTCTGCTGCATGGAGGGAAGGTGGAGGAAGCCCCCAGCCTTGTCCCACAGGATCTGCAGGGTCTGTGGGGCTCTGGATCCTGACTCCTCTCCCACGCAGGAGGGAGCAGATGGTGGATGTGTCAGGGCATCCCAGGCTGCCCGTGGTGGAGGTGTCACCTCAGGATGTTCATCAATTATTGATATTTGCTGACTAATCAGAGCTGGCTGTGTCTGCACTGATTCATCAGCCGGGCTCCTGGCAGGGCTGATTCAGAGCTCGTTAGTGGAGTTCAGCAGATCTCTGTGGCTCTGGGAGCTGGGGCAGGAGCGAGCAGAGTTGATGTGTGGCTGCTGCTGCTGCCTGCCTGTGGAATCCCCCAGCCAAGGCTAAAATTAGCAGGGCTGGGCTGCGGGGAATCCCTGGGCAGGAGCAGGAGCAGGGTCAGAAAATCCCTGGGCAGGAGCAGGATCAGGAAATCCCTGGGCAGGAGCAGGAGCAGGGTCAGAAAATCCCTGGGCAGGAGCAGGATCAGGAAATCCCTGGGCAGGAGCAGGAGCAGGGTCAGAAAATCCCTGGGCAGGAGCAGGATCAGGAAATCCCTGGGCAGGAGCAGGAGCAGGGTCAGGGAATCCCTGGGCAGGAGCAAGTTCAGGGAATTCCAGAGCAATTCCAGAGGGGCCAGGACAGGGCAGGGCCATGAAAGCCTTTTCCAGGTGCCTGTGCCCTCCTGGTGACAAGGGCAGCACCAGCATTCCCCCTTCCCTCTGGAGAGCTGTAAAACATGTGTGGAATTGGTGCTCTCCTGGCAGCCAAGTACCTCAGCAATGCTTGGTCACTGCTCAGCCCTGGAAGTGCCCTGGGCCAGGGTGGATGGGGGACAGGGGGACAGCTCAGCCTGCAGCAGGAGCTGGTCAGAGCATCAGCCTCAGAGCAAGGGGCAGAGGGAGCAGCAGGGAGCTTCCCACCCCTCCCAGGAGCCCCCACCAGCAGCGAGGGCTGACACAGCTCTGGTCAGATTATTTGATGGCAATAAAATCACTGGAGAAATGGCAGCTCCAGGGGTTTGTGTTCTTTTAATTGAATTCCCAGCATCCCAGCTCCTGCTGTCCCTCACTGCAGAGTCCTTGGCAGGAGGAGGGGGACACTTTTTGAGAGGATGTTGTAGAAATTAATGATGAGTGAGGTCATCCAACCCTCCCACTGCTTCCTGGAAATTAAAGCAGGGATGTGCTTCACTGCTCAACCAGGAGGGCCCATGATTAAAAATGATCAGTCAGAGTCCAGGATGCTTTTGTGTTGTGTTCCATGGATATTCCTGACTCCACTGAAATGCCAAGGACAGCCTGGCCAGGTTCCCTGACATTCCAGGGCAGTGCAGATGTTGGGAGTGCAGCTGCTTTCACCACAGTAGTACTGGAATTCATCCATGGAATTGTCCCATCCAGGCAAATCTCTCTGGCTCAGAGCAATCCTGAGGGAACAGCCATGGGCAGTTCTACCTTGAGGAACAGCTGCTGGTGTGGATCAACTCAGCCAAGCAGACCTGCCAGTGCTGGCTTTAAAAGGCTCAACAGCAAACAAACAAACAAAAAAATAAAAACCCAAAAAACAGCACCACCTCCACCACAGACATTTAAAAATTCCTTTCCCTGAGCTGTGGAAGATTTGCTGCTCATTATCTAAGAACATAATATCCCTTAGGGGGAAATTGTGCTCTTAGCTCCTGATGCATTGCAGCAGTGCAGGGCTGGTTCCTGCAGCTCGTGGGTTCTGGGAGCAGCAGCACTGCCCTGTGCCATTCCATGTCTGTCCTGTGCCAGGGGCTGTGCCAGGGGCTGTGCCAGCTCTGTGCCTGGGTGCTGTGACAGTGACAGGCCAGGCAGAGCCAGCTCTGGGGCTGGGCAGATGCTCAGAGGGGCTGGGGAGGAGCAGCTCAGGTGCTCAGAGGTGCAGGAGGGGTTCAGTGAGAGCAGCTCGGGTGCAGAGGGGCTCAGTGAGAGCAGCTCAGGTGTTCAGGACAGCACCTGTGGGCTCAGTGAGAGCAGCTCAGGTGCTCAGAGGTGCAGGAGGGGCTCAGTGAGAGCAGCTCAGGTGCTCAGAGGTGCAGGAGGGGCTGGTGAGGAGCAGCTCAGGTGCCAAGCCCAGCAGCCAAAGCCCTGTGGGTGGGCTGCAGGCTCAGTTGTAACATCCTGGAGTAGGACCTCTGTTAATTAAAAAGGAAATGATCGTTATTATTCAATCCCACGTTCACTCCTCATCCCAAAATGCTCTGAATTGAGTATGGAAACATGAGCCAATCCTGGATCATCTCTGCCATGCTTGTACATAGAAATAGTTCAGCTATTTCTGTCTCACTCCATACTGTGAGTGCCAGCTCTGGATGGAACATTTCGCAGTCAGAGGAAGCTTTCCTTCCCCTCACACACTTCCAAGTGACTGACATTTCTGTATGAGGGCTTTTCTGCTCTTCAGACAGGCTGGAGTTCTGGTTCAGCATTGCCAGTTCCTCCCCTTTTGGCCAGGGCACGCTGGGGTGCAGCAGGAGCAGAGCCCCCAGCCCAGGGCTCAGCACAGGCACCTTTGCAGCCAGCATCCACCCTCTCCAGGCAGATCCTTGCTTTGGGGTGATCCAAATCCTGCTCTTGCCTCTTCCAGGGAGCAGCAACTGAGCTGAACTATTTAAATTTTAATAAGAAAGGCAGGAACTGCGAGGTCTCAAGCCACACCATAGCCAGCACCATCCCTGGAAGTGTCCCAGGCCAGGCTGGACAGGGCTTGGAGCACCCTGGGGTCGTGGGAGGTGTCCCTGCCATGGCAGGGCTGGAATGGGGGGCTTGTTAGGGTCCCTTCCAGCCCAAGCCATTCCAGGATTCTGTGATCATCTCCCTCCTTTTTTCCAGCCTGGTTGGGAGTGAACCCTTGTCCTTTCCATGTGCTTGTCTCTCATGGCAACCTTTGTGCAATCCCTCTGGAGCCTCTTCCCTCAGTGAGAGTTTCCTGCCCTGGGTGTCCTTGCTGAGCATCCTCAGTGACAAACTCCTGACAGGCACACCAAGAGAGGCACCAAAAATGCCAACTCTGCCCCCAAACTCACCTCCCCTGTGCCCCTGCACAGAGCAGCCCCTGGAACCACAGCTGGACAGGACTTGGTGCTGCTCAGAAGGAAACCTGTTCTGGGAGCTGTGGAGCTGCCTGGGAGCTCTTTGCCTGCTGAACTCCACCGGGGATGGAAATGGCCAGATCCATCTCAGCTGCCACGTTTATCCTGTCACATGGGCCCTAAGCAGCTGACAAATGCAAACACTTCAGTGGTGTTTATCATCCCCATCACTGCCTGCTTGTTTGCCTGCCTCTCCAGCCCTGCCAGCTGCCAGGCAGTCTGAAGGAACAATCCGTTTGGCTGAGGATAAAGATCCAGGCTCCCAGGTCAGCCCAGAGTCCTGAATTTCCTGCAGGGAGGGGAGGAACTGCCAGTAAACATCAGTGACCTCCTCCCTGGATGTGGCAGGATCGGGAATGCACTCAGATGTGATGCTTAGCGAGGGGAGAGGGGCAGGGTGTTTTCTGTGAAGCTGTGCAAAACAAGGTCATTCCATCCTGCAGGAGAACTCGGTGTTCAGAGGATGTGCTGCTGTTTCCTTTGTGCTCTGTAGCCGTGGATGTTCTGCTACCAGGCACTTGTGGCCCTTTGGTGACAAAGGAGCACGTTGGGGCAGGCTGAGGTGTCCTGCTGGGGATGGTTTGGGCAGCACACCCAGCCAAGTGCACGTTTTCACCTCGTGGATGGGCACGTTGTGGAGTGGAGACACAGGGGTGGTGCTGAAGGCCCTGCCAGTGCCCGGGGCAGGAGCTGCAGTCCTGATGCATTGCAGAGGGTTCTGCCTCCAGCTCTGTGTGCTTATGAAACACTGCTCAGCACCAGAGACTCGGGCTGGCATGGGCAGAGGCTGGACAACTGCTCTGACGGGCTGGATGCTGCTGCGTGAGGCTGGGATGCTGCTCTGAGGCAGGAATTCTGCTCTGAGAGGCTGGGATGCTGCTCTGAGAGACAGGAATTCTGCTCTGGGGCAGGAATGATGCTCTGAGAGGCAGGAATGATGCTCTGAGAGGCTGGGATGCTGCTCTGAGAGGCAGGAATTCTGCTCTGAGAGGCTGGGATGCTGCTCTGAGAGGCAGAAATGCTGCTGTGTGAGGCAGGAATTCTGCTGCTGTCCCTGCCCTCCCGAGGGGCTGGAAACAGACCCCAAGCCTGGAGTTCTCTGGTTCCCTCCTGTGGTGCTCCCGGGGCTTTTGTTTGTGTTTTTAACGCAGTGTGGATGGGACTGTGTGCTGAATTTGCCCTGGAGTTGCTCTGTGCCCTCGGGGATGAGGAGCAGAAGCTCCTGTCAGGGTGTTTGAGCTGCTGTCACTGCAGGGTGTTCCCCTCCTCACCAGTCATGCAGCAGACTGGTTTGTGCTCCCACCAGCTGTTAAATTCACTCTACTGCAGCCCTGCCTTGGCCAGGAACATCTCCCACACCCTTCTGACAGAAGGAGGAATCAGTGCAGGAGCTCTCAGGTCTTGCTGGTGAGGTGGCACCGGCTGTGTCTTCAATCAGCATGTAATGTTCTCGTGGTGGTGCTGGGCACTGCTCTGGCCCTGGCAGTTCCTGGAAGTTGTGCTCCCCTCCCACAGGGACCCTGCTGGTTTCTCTCAGCACTCACACCAGGGGGCAAAGCAGTGTTTGGAATGCAGGAGCAGCTGATTCAGTCCCACCTGGGGCTGTGTGGGGTGTCTTGTGTGTGTGATTCTGCATTTCCTCTGGCGCTGGCAGTGTCTGGAACTCGGGCCAGGGGAGCTGATGCTGCACGGAGTGCAGCTCTGCAGAGCTGGGGTGCCAGTCTGCTGGCCCTGACTGGCACCCCTGCCTTGTTGTGTCTCAGGAGCAGGGATGGTGGTGGACTGGGAACAAGAAACTGGGCTCCTGATGACCTCGGGAGACGTGAGGATAATCCGGATCTGGGACACGGATCGGGAAATGAAAGTACAGGTAACAGCTGCCTGCTTGGCCCAGCACCTGTCCCTGCCAGAGCCCAGAGCACCTGGGGCTGCTCTGTGAGGAGCTGCCAGCTTCTGGAGCCCCTTCCTCCCTGCTTCCCTGCCCCAGGTCACGTTCCCAGCTCAATAAAACCACACAGACACTCAGGGAGTGTGCCAGGGCTCTCCTGCCAGCTGCTGTGCTGCTCTGGGTGGGCAGCAGTGCTTGGGGAAGCTGAGGCTGTGCCATCCAGAAGTGGGCTCTGGGATGTGAAGGTGGGCTCTGGGATCCAGAGGAGGGCACTGGGATGTGAAGGCAGGCTCTGGGATGCAGAGGAGGGCTCTGGGATGCAGAGGAAGATTCTGGGATGCAGAGGAGGGCACTGGGATGTGAAGGCAGGCTCTGGGAGGCAGAGGAGGGCTCTGGGAGGCAGAGGAAGGCTCTGGGATGCAGAGGAAGGCTCTGGGATGCAGAGGAGGGCTCTGGAATGGAGAGGAGGGCTCTGGGATGCAGAGGAGGGCTCTGGGATGCAGAGGAAGGCTCTGGGATGCAGAGGAGGGCTCTGGAATGGAGAGGAGGGCTCTGGGATGCAGAGGAGGGCTCTGGGATGCAGAGGAAGGCTCTGGGATGCAGAGGAGGGCTCTGGAATGGAGAGGAGGGCTCTGGGATGCAGAGGAGGGCTCTGGGATGCAGAGGAAGGCTCTGGGATGCAGAGGAGGGCTCTGGGATGTGAAGGCAGGCTCTGGGAAGCAGAGGGGGGGTCTGGGATGGAGAGGAAACTCTGGGATGCAGAGGGGGGCTCTGGGATGCAGAGGAAGGCTCTGGGATGCAGAGGAGGGCTCTGGGATGCAGCGGAGGGCTCTGGGATGTGAAGGCAGGCGCTGGGATGCAGGGCTGGGGGGGGGTCTGGGATGGAGAGGAAACTCTGGGATGCAGAGGGGGGCACTGGGTTGCAGAGGGGGGCTCTGGGATGCAGAGGGGGGCTCTGGGAAGCAGAGGAAGGCTCTGCAATGCTTAGGAGGGCTCTGGGATGCTTAGGAGGACTCTGGGATGCACAGGAAGGCTCTGGGATGCAGCTGAAGTTCACATTAACAGGGAACTGGAATAGTGTAAGAGTCTGTGAAAGCACACAACCCCTGTGCCACGGAGCAGGAAAAAGGCCCTGCCAGGGAAAAGGCCCTGCCAGAGTCCCCGACAGCCACCATCACGTGGGAGTTGCAGTTGGAGCTCACATTAACAGGGAACTGGAATAGTGTAAGAGTCTGTGAAAGCACACAGCCCCTGTGCCACGGAGCAGGGACAAGGCCCTGCCAGCGTCCCCGACAGCCACCATCACGTGGGAGCTCCTCAGAAATTCCGAGGAGAAGCAGGTGGTCGGTGAGAACCGAGGCACCATGCTGGAATGAAAAGGAAGTGGAGTTTTCAAAGCTTCTCGAAATTAATTACCCTTGGATGAACATTAATTGCGACACTTTGACCCTGCGATGCAGGATAATTAAGCCTCTGTTCATCTTAATTACTTTCACATATTATTTTTTCTATGCAAATTAGGGAGCGGCAAAATTCAGGAGGCGAAAATCTTTTAAATGATGATGATTAATGATTGCACCGAAAGTATCTAAAAACATGTTGTTTCTTTTTTTAATTGCAAAGATTGGGTGTTGAAATTCAAGTGATTGGAACTTCCTGCCTCGGTGACTGGGAAAGTGAGAATCAGCACAAAGAGCAGCGATAATCGAGGCAGATAAAGGTGCCTCCCTCTTTGAACTACAGAAACCCACACCTCTGGAAGCTCTCTGGAGCTGGAGGAACGAGTGCTTCATTTGCACTTCTGCTGAGTGTTGCTGCTTCAAAGGAGGAGCTGGGGGTGGGCAGAGGCTGCAGCAGCCCCGGGCCTGGTGCCTCTCCCTGCTCAGCCCAGCGGCTCCAGGGTGAGCCTGCAAGGGGCACAAGCAGAGCTGAGGTGTGGGGTGAGCCCCTGCAGCTCCTGCACAGCCCTGAGCAGCCTGGCCTGGGGACGTGTGCCCGGGGCAGGGGGGAAATGAGAGGGGCTTTAAGGTCCCTGCCAACCAGGGCATTCCATCGTTGGCATTCCTGCTTTTGCAGTGCTGCTCAGCTTCTTTTGCTGGTTTTAACAAAGTGGTTTTCCTCCCAACAGGCACAGGGATTATTCTGAGCAATTCTTTTGCCTCAAGAAGTAAAAAGGAGGGAAGTGGCAGCGTGGTGCAGTGGCACAGCTGCCTTTCCCATGTCCCCTTCCCAGCACACATCTCTCATGAGATGGGCTGGGTGTCCCTGTCACAAGTGCCACAGCAGGGACAGGAGGGGGCACAGCACTGCCTGGCTTGCTCTGGGGCTGGGCCAGGGGCCAGAGTGTCCCTTTGGGGCTCAGGGGCACCAGAGCTCGGTGTGAGGATGGGGATGAGGAGGGGGATGGGGATGGAGCAGGACCTTGGTTCGGGGCCCTGAGTGAAGCTGTGTGTCACAGCTACAGCAGGTCTGAGCTGAACAGATAAAATTGGCCATGACAGACCCCAGCTCCCAGCTTAATTCATTAAAAAATAGTAAACAAGTCCCCAGGTAAGACAATGATAGGTTAGGTAGGATCTCAAACAAGACGCCCCAGCCAGTGCCACTCAATCCTAGCAGCCAGTGAGCCAAGCAGTGTTAGGAACCCAACCAAGGGTTCAAGCACGAGAACTTTGAACCCCCCATGAATGGGGGTGTCCATCAGTGAGCATTGGCTGCTGTCACCTAACCTCAGTGTGTCCATGTCACTCTTGCACCAAGAATGACACAGGGAAGGAGGGAGGCAGGACTGTAGAAAGAGCGAAGGAGGTTTTGTTCAAGAGAACCACGTGGTTTATATAGAGTGATACGATGGATTCTGTTTGATTGGCTAACAAAAACACCTTCCTCACACACTGTCCTTGAGAAGAACAGAAAGACAAAGTAGAAAAGCACCACCTGCAGATTGTTTATACTGACAAGTTACCACATCCTTACAACTCTCCAAAATTCTCGTGAGCCGCTGTGAGAAACGCTTGCCGTTCCTCTCTCTCCATCCCATGGCATCCACATGTCCAGCTGTGTGACCAACATGTGGGGTGTGTGTGTGTCTGTGCAGGACATTCCCACGGGAGCTGACAGCTGTGTCACCAGCCTGTCCTGTGACTCCCACCGCTCGCTGATCGTGGCGGGGCTGGGCGACGGCTCCATCCGCGTCTTCGACAGGAGGATGGCCCTCAGCGAATGGTAACGGGTCCTCCCTTCCCTTCCCTTCCCTTCCCTTCCCTTCCCTTCCCTTCCCTTCCCTTTTTTCCTCCTCTCACAGTGTCCCCTTGTCCCCAGCCGTGTCATGACCTACCGGGAGCACACAGCCTGGGTGGTGAAGGCTTACCTGCAGAAGCACCCCGAGGGCAACATCATGAGTGTCAGGTACAGGGGTTGCTCTCCTGGGGCTGCTGGCCACACTCAGTGTTTGATTTTCCCTTCCAATTCTGGCCCTGCTGGGAGGGTGAAGCTCTGGGGTTTGAGATGTGCTTCAGTGATTAATTCCTGCTCCAGACTGGGTGGAGGGGAGGCAGAAGGGATGTGGAGCTCTCGCTGGGAGGCTGCTGGGGAGGTTTGGGGGTGAACAAGGAGCTGGAATCACCAGGGGTGTGAGGGGGAAGGGAGGGCAGCTCCCTGTGGAATATCTTGTGGTGAGGGGGCTTCACTGCCAGCATCTCTGTGGGGACATCTGGGAGAGGACAAGAGGAGGAAGGTGGAGGGTGCATCTGGCAGGCACGTTCCTGGGCAGGATTCCTGTGCAATTCCCTAAATCCATCCCTGCTGCCTGGTAAATACTGCAGCCAGAGCAGCAGGTACTGATTTGGCCATTAAGGAGCAGCAGAACAGAATTTATTGTCACAAAGCCACCGTTTGCACACAAAGAGCTGCTTTCTCTTGATTAGAAAATGGAAACAAAGCATAATTTTCTGGGATTCAGAACATTCCTGAGGCGGGGGATGGGCCAGCAAAAATGTATTAAGATTTTCAAACAGGGGATTATGTGATGCAGCTGCCAGATTTGTCGAGCTCCCATATTGGAGTTTTTAATCTTCCTCTCCATAAGCTCCTCCTGCAGCTCCAGGGGTCAGGTCCCTGTGCCCAGGGCTGAGGGCTGGTAGTCCCCTCTCCTCTGAGCCCTTCCAGCCTGGGAGCTGCTCCTGGGGCTGCGGAGCTGTGTGGGAATGTTGGGCTTCAAAAGGTCAGAGGAGCTCAGGCTGTGGAGCTGAGCCACCTCCCTTCCAGTCCCTCCCAGCTCCCCCTGCTTCAGCTGGCAGCAAAATCCAAGGAAGACAAACGACAGGACATGGTGAGGTCCTGGGGTGGAGGTGGCACCAGCACATCCCCTCTGCTTGCAGGTTCCCAAGGCAATTTCTGCTGTGCAAAGCAGCAGGAATGTGGGCCTGGATGTATTGGGAGTGCCAGAACAGGGGGGCACACTCAGCAATGGGCCAGGAGTGAGAGGCAGTGAGGGAGCAGTGTGGGGTCAGCACTGTGGGATCAGCAGTGAAGGATGGGCAATGAGGGATGAGCAGTGAGGGATCAGGAATTTGGGATCAGCAGTGAGGGATCAGTGAGGGATCAGTGTGGGGTCAGCAGTGTGGGATCAGGAATTTGGGATCAGTGAGGGATCAGCAGTGTGGGATCAGGAATTTGGGATCAGCAGTGAGGGATCAGCACTGTGGGATCAGCAGTGAGGGATCAGGAATTTGAGATCAGCAGTTTGGGATCACTCCCAGCTGTTCCCCGAGCACAGAACATGCTGTGGGTGGGATCAGATCATGGCCCTGCTGGGATCCCAGCCCTGGGTGTTCCCTGTCCTGGTGCCCCATGGAGGGGCTTGGCCCATGGGCAGCCCTACAGCTGCATTTCCTGGAGCTCTGGGGACTCTGGGTGGGCTGTGCCAGCCTGAGCCTGGCTCTGTGTTGGCCCTGGGGCTGTGCCAGCCTCACGTGTGGCTCTGTGTTGGCACTGGGGCTGTGCCAGCCTCACGTATGGCTGTGTTGGCTCTAGGGCTGTGCCAGCCTCACGTGTGGCTCTGTGTTGGCTCTGGGGCTGTGCCAGCCTCACGTGTGGCTCTGTGTTGGCCCTGGGGCTGTGCCAGCCTCACGTGTGGCTCTGTGTTGGCTCTGGGGCTGTGCCAGCCTCACGTGTGGCTCTGTGTTGGCTCTGGGGCTATGCCAGCCTCACGTGTGGCTCTGTGTTGGCCCTGGGGCTGTGCCAGCCTCACGTGTGGCTCTGTGTTGGCTCTGGGGCTGTGCCAGCCTCACGTGTGGCTCTGTGTTGGCAGTGTCAACGGCGACGTGCGCTTCTTCGACCCCCGCATGCCCGAGTCCATGAAGGTGCTGCAGATTGTCAAGGGGCTCACGGCCCTCGACATCCACCCCCAGGCCAACCTGTTTGCTTGGTGAGTGCTGCTGCCCCCCTGCAGCACAGGCAGCTCTGCTGTGAGCCCTCAGGGGGCTCTGGAGGGTCAGAGGGAGGGAGCAGGGCCGGGAGGAGGGGGAATGGCTTCCCACTGCCAGAGGGCAGGGTTGCGTGGGGTACTGGGGGGAGATTCTTCCTGGGAGGGTGGGGAGGCCCTGGCACAGGGTGCCCAGAGCAGCTGGGGCTGCCCCTGGATCCCTGGCAGTGTCCCAGGCCAGGTTGGACATTGGGGCTTGGAACAGCCTGGGACAGTGGGAGGTGTCCCTGCCATGGCAAAGGTGGAATAAGGTGAGCTTTAAGATCTCTCTCAATCCAAACCATTCCATGATCCCTGGAGAGGGTGACTTGTCTCCACAGACATCATTCATGGGGTGGTGTTGGTGTTACTGTTTTTAACCCCACCCCAGCAGAGCAGCTTCCTGCCTGTGTTTGCTGCTCAGGAGTTTTTCCCTTTTTTACCCCTCAGTGAGCCCTGGACACCGGGTCCCTGTTCAGTGTCTGTTTCTGGGCTCTGCCTGGGGACCAGCAGCTGCTCCACAGCCACACGGCCTGGAGCCTGTTTGGGGTGCCCTGGTGTGTTTGGGAATCAGCTCTCTGTGTTTCCCTGTCCCAGGTGACCACAGCTCACTGTGGTGCTGGCCCCAGTGAATGCTCTCCCACTCAGGGACGTGGCTGCACTGTGGCACACAGCTCAGCCAGGGGCTGCAGCAGCACTTTTGTCCCCTCCCAGCATTGCCAGTGACTCCAGTTCTGTCCCTTGCAGTGGCTCCATGAACCAGTTCACTGCCATCTACAACGGGAACGGGGAGCTGATCAACAACATCAAATACTACGACGGCTTCATGGGCCAGAGAGTGGGAGCCATCAGCTGCCTGGCCTTCCATCCCCACTGGGTCTGTACCCTGCTGCCACGGGGGCTGCCCCGAGACCCCCAGGGGGAAGGGGAGCTGTCCCAGCCCAGCTCTGAGCCCTTCCAGCCGAGCTGCAGGGCTCGGGAGCTGTCCAAGGTCCAGGAGCAGCGCAGCTCTCACTCCCAAATTCCTGTGCTTGGCACTCCCAGCTGTGGCTCACTGGGCTGGAGCTGGGCAGGCAGAAAGTGCAGCTCAGGAAAACGGGAGAGCTGTGGAAATTAAAGGCACGAGCTGATACAGCTGGAATGAGGCAGAACAAAAGGGGATTTTGGAGTCTGTCACAGCTGGAATGAGGCAGAACAAAAGGGGATTTTGGAGTGTCCCAGCTGAGGGGCTCTGCAGTGGTCACACAGACAGTCTGGTTGCTGCTCAAGGAGGAGGGAGGTCCCTTCTGTGCAGTGGACTTTGCTCACCAGGGAGGAGAACAAATGGAGGAGCTGGAAAACCTGAAAAAACAATGAATGGATGGGAAAACAGGGGGGAGTTACCAGGATTATTTTAGAAACCTGCAGATAGCTCACAGATGTTTAATATGTGATGGGAAGAGCAGTTTGCTCTTTAAACAAGCAAAGCAAAGCCCTGTCCGGCGGGGCCAGGTCCCCTCACTGCAGGAAATTCTCATTTTCAGCCCAGCCATGGCTCCTAATGAGCAGATTTGCAGTCATTTAGAGAAATTATGTCGGCAGTTGGCAACTAATAGTGCCCATAATTTTTCCCTGTGGCTGAAATGGGCCTATAACTCCTGCAGAGCTGTGGAGCAGCTGGGTGTCCCTGCTGAATGTCACTGTCACCTGTGCCTGTCACTGCTCCACAGCTGGACCTTGGGGTTGGTCACAGGAGGGAGCTGGGAAGGGGCTGGGGCACCAGGAGGGGCTGAGGGAGCTGGGAAGGGGCTGGGGCACCAGGAGGGGCTGAGGGAGCTGGGAAGGGGCTGGAGCCCCAGGAGGGGCTGAGGGAGCTGGGAAGGGGCTGGGGCACCAGGAGGGGCTGAGGGAGCTGGGAAGGGGCTCAGCCTGGAGAAAAGGAGGCTCAGGGGGAAATTCTGGTTCTGCACAGCTCCTGACAGGAGGGGACAGCCGGGGGGTCGGGCTCTGCTCCCAGGAACAGGCACAGGAGCAGAGGGAACGGCCTCAGGCTGGGCCAGGGGAGCTCAGGGTGGACAGCAGCAGGAATTTCCCCAGGGAAAGGGGTCTTGTCACTATAGGATGTGAAAAAACACGATGGGAACATGCTGCTGTTTGTAAGGTTAAAAAGGGCAGTTTATTTTCTGACTCTAACATTTATAGATTTCCAAAGGTGACAGTGGATTGGAAGGTGACAGTGCCACCTCTCCAATGACACTGGACAAACCAACAGTCCCTAAAATTTCTCTTCTTCCATAAAAGAACGCAAACCAATAAGTTATTTACAGAAAGTGTGTGAGAAAGATTGCTACAAGAGTGTAAACAGCAGAAGGCTTAGAAAAACTTCAAAAATCAGGGTGACAGGTGCCCAGGGAGGCTGGGAGTGCCCATCCCCGGGGTGCCCATTCCCGGAGTGGAGTGCCTATCCCCAGGGTGCCCATCCCCAGGGTGCCCATCCCCAGGGTGCCCATCCCCAGAGTGGAGTGCCTATCCCTGGCATGCCCATGCCTGGAGTGCCCATCCCGGGGTGCCCATCCCCGGGGTGCCCATCCCTGGCATGCCCATCCCCAGGGTGCCCATCCCGTGGTGCCCATCCCGGGGTGCCCATCCCGGGGTGCCCATCCCCGGGGTGCCCATCCCCGGGGTGCCCATCCCTGGCATGCCCATCCCCGGGGTGCCCATCCCCGTGGTGCCCATTCCCGGAGTGCCCATTCCCGGAGTGCCCATCCCGGGGCGCCCATCCCGGGGGGCCCATCCCCAAGGTGCCCATCCCGGAGTGCCCATCCCGGGGTGCCCGGAGCAGCTGGGCGGGCAGGGTGGGACGGTCGCAGGCGGCTCTGGGCGGTCTCGGGGCTCTCCCGGCCCGGCTGAGCGGTGACCGTGCCCTCTGTCCTGTGCTCTCCCGCAGCCCCACCTGGCCGTCGGCAGCAATGACTTCTACATCTCGGTGTACTCGGTGGAGAAGAGGATCAGATGACGGCGCCGGCCGAGCGGCCCCGGGGCTCCTGTACATAGAGAAATCATCGACTTGAATGTTTCGTGTTGGCTGCTGCTGCACCCCATAACTTGAACATTTGTTCTTCTGACTTAGCTACTGATGGGTTTGACAAGGGGAAGAGACAATCTCCTGGGTTTGTTTCGTTTTGTTTTCCAGCTATATCCTCTCAAAGCTGCAGAAAAGGAACATTTATTTTTGTTTCCAGTGGTTGGCTTCTCTGTCAGAAACACGGCTCCTGAGCGTGGAAGGACTTGGATGAGGCAACGCCCTTGAGAAGGGTCTTGTTTTAGTCTTTGTTCCTTGTTTTGCTGCGGTGTGAGTTCTTCAAGGACTGTCAGGACTCGCCTCCAGCTCCACAGGACCCTCCAGCTGCTGCCAGCCCTGTGCCAAACCCAATTCCTGGGCCAGGGCAGCCACCCCAGCAGGGGATGTGGCTGCCAGGGAGGCAGGGCAGCATGAACCTCCTCCTCCTCCCTGCCTGCAGCCTGCTCCCCACTGGAGGCAAGGACAGATGGGGACTGGTGGCCTGGGCAGGCAGGGGTCCCGCAGGAGGGGCTCAGGGAGATGGCAGCAGCAGGGCAGGACGTCCCACGCCGTAAAGCTGCACGTGAGGAAGAGGAGGGAGGAAAGGGAACGAAGATCTCCAACGTCCCCACGAGCCTGGAGCACGTCACCGGTGTCACCACGTTGCACCCAAGCCCGTGAGGAGCTGGGGGCACCTCGGGCACTGCCCCTCCTGCTGCCACTGTCCCTGTGCCACCGGGAGCTGCAGAGCCACCCAGCCTGGGCTCCCTGTGCCCCCACGGCTGCTGGGCACCCAGGAGAGGCCAGGCGTGGGCACCTGGAGCTGCACACCACGGCTGGGGCTCACCTGCCCCCGGGGAAGCAGGCAGGGAAGCACCTGGGCATGGGGAACGGCTGAGGAGGAGGAGGAGGAAGGCAGCTCTGAGCAAAGCCACCTCGTCCCAGCTGTGCAGCAGAGCCTGCTCCACCTCTGCACTTTCCACGTGTGAATAATGAATGTTTTGTCCCCTGGGCTCCCTTCTGGGGCTGCAGGTGGGTGTGGGAAGGGAGAGCACAGCCGAGGGACAGGTTTCCTTCCAGAGGGGCAGAACTCACTGCAGGAATTCCCAGTGGTCCCCCAGCAGTGCCACGGGATCTGCAGGCTCCACAAAGTGAGGGAAGGGCTCAGAACCCCTCTGAACTGCCAGCTGTGCAGGGGGATGCAGTGAGGGAGGGGCTCAGAACCCCTCTGAACTGCCAGCTGTGCAGGGGATGCAGTGAGGGAAGGGCTCAGAACCCCTCTGAACTGCCAGCTGTGCAGGGGATGCAGTGAGGGAAGGCTCAGAGCCCCTCTGTCCTGGGCTGGCCCTGCCTGCACCTCTGCCCCGTGCCCTCCGTGCTGCTGCTGGCCCTGGCACCGTGTCCCTGTGTGCTGAGGCCACCCCGAGGTGCCACAGGCTCAGGGGCTGTGCCTTGGAGAGGTCCCCAAGCATCAGCGCCGTCCCCATCAGGGATCACATCCCAGGATAATGAATCAAAGGCTTTAAACTTCAAAAAAAACTACCTAAAACCCCACTTGTAAGTTACCCAAAGTTAATTATGGTCTAACAGAGCTGTGCCTCTTCCCGGGCTGCCCGCGGGGGTGGAAGCAGAGTTTGGGATCTCACGTAACCCCTTAACATTCACAGCTTCAAAAACAATAGATTTTTAACTGCTATCAGTGTATTTGTGAAAGGAACAGGACATTCCTGGCGTGGTGGGAGCTGCTGCTCCTGCCTGGCTCTGGTGCAGCCCCACGTCCAGAAGGGTGAGGATTTTAAGGAGTTTGGGCTGTTGGGCTTTTACCTGAGCGTGTGGGCTGTGCTTCCACAGGTCTGCTGCAGAGATTCAATCATGGGTCACAGAGTTTAACCAGCGATCTGGAGAGCGTCCTACCTTCAAAGTTCACTTATCTCTATTTATTTTACAAAAATAAAGTTTAAAATAAAATATATATAAAACCCCCCACACGATTGTAATGTGAGAGTAAAAACGATTACAGACAAATAAATGGTTAATAAAAAATAAATGCAGAAACACTTTGTGGTGTGAGGATCCTTCTGTGGGGCTGGGGCTGGCTGAGGCCCAGGAGGGGTTTGGGGTGCAGGGCTCGGGGTCTGGCAGGTCCCAGGGCTGTTGGTGACAGATTTGTGTCCCAGCTGGGCGGAGCAGCAGCAATGCCAATCCCAGGGTGCAAATGCAGCTCTCTGTATCATCCCCATTCCCTGTATTGTTATCTACATCCCGGTATTATTAGCCCCATTCCCAATATTATTATCCCCATTCCCAGTTATTCCCATTCCCTAAATTATTATCCCCATTCCCTATATTATAATATTATATAATATATTCCCTATATAATATAATATTATAACCGTTCCTGGTTATTCCCATTCCCCATATTATATTCCCAATATTATTATCCTCATTCCTGATATTATTATCCCCACTTCTTATATTATTATCCTCATTCCTGACATTCTTATTCCCAATATTCCCGATATTACTATCCCTATTCCAGATATTATTGTCCCCATGCCCTATTTCATCCTCATTCCCAATATTATTTTCTCAGATATTGCCAATATTATTATCCCCATATTGTTATACTCATTGCTGATATTTTTATCCCCATTCCCGGTATTTTTATTCCATTCCCAATATCATTACCCCCATTCCCAGTATTATTCCCATGCCAGTTGTTTTTATCCCCATTCCCGATGTTATTATACTCATTCCCGATATCATTATCCCCATTCCATATATTATTATCTCCATTCCCGATATTTTAATCCCCATTCCTGATATCATTATCCCCATTCTCGGTATTTTACCCCCATTCCAGGTATTTTATCCCAATTCCCGGTATTTCCATTCCCATTCCCGCTATTTCCATTCCCATTCTCGGTATTTCCATCCCCATTCCCGATATTTTACCCCCATTCCCGATATTTCCATCCCCATTCCCGGTATTTTATCCCCATTCCCGGTATTTTACCCCCATTCCCGATATTTTACCCCCATTCCCGCTATTTCCATCCCCATTCCCGATATTTTACCCCCATTCCCGGTATTTTACCCCCATTCCCGCTATTTTCATCCCCATTCCCGATATTCCACCCCCATTCCCGATATTTTACCCCCATTCCCGATGTTTTACCCCCATTCCCGGTATTTCCATCCCCATTCCCGATGTTTTACCCCCATTCCCGATGTTTTACCCCCATTCCCGATATTTTACCCCCATTCCCGGTATTTTATCATTATCCCCATTCGGTGTATTTTACCCCCATTCCAGGTATTTTATCCCAATTCCCGGTATTTCCATTCCCATTCCCGATATTTTACCCCCATTCCCGATATTTCCATCCCCATTCCCGGTATTTTATCCCCATTCCCGGTATTTTACCCCCATTCCCGATATTTTACCCCCATTCCCGCTATTTCCATCCCCATTCCCGATATTTTACCCCCATTCCCGATATTTTACCCCCATTCCCGCTATTTCCATCCCCATTCCCGATATTTTATTCCCATTCCCGATATTCCCGTCCCCAGCGCGCCCCCTAGCGGCGCGCCCCCGCCGCTGCGGCGCTCGCTGCGCGTTGTGCGGGGCCGGGCCCCTCGCGGCCGCCGTCGGGGGCGGGCCGGGCCGGGCCGGGCAGGAGCGGCCATGGGGAACCTGTTCGGGCGGAAACGGCGGAGCCGCGTCACGGAGCAGGACCGGGCCGTGCTGGTGAGCGGAGCGGGCCGGGGTGGTGGGAGGGACGGGCCGGGATGGCGAGCGGGGGAGCGGGAGAGTTTAAGCGGCCGGGCCGGTGTGCCGGGGGAGGGACCGGGCCGGGCCGTGCCGTGCCGTGCCGGGCTGCTGAGGGGGGACGGAGCGGCCCGGCTGGGGCTGAGCGACCCCCGGTGCTGTCGCTGACACGGCGGGGACAGACCGGGCCGGGGAGCGGCGCTGCCTGAGGGGCGCTGGAGCTGTCAGGGCTGAGCTGTGACCCCTGCCTGTCCCTCTGTCCGTCCCTCTGTCTGTCCCCCTGTCCGTGTGTCCCGCAGCAACTGAAGCAGCAGCGGGACAAGCTCCGGCAGTACCAGAAGCGGCTGAGCCTGGGGCTGGAGCGGGAGCGGGCGCTGGCCCGGCAGCTGCTGCGGGACGGCAAGAAAGAGTGAGGGACAGCGTCACCCGGGCCCGGGGACAGTGCCACCGCCAGGGTGGCACCTCTGCCTGTGGGAATCGGGATCCCGGAGGGGTTTGGGTTGGGAGGGACCTCAAACCCCACCCAGTGCCACCCGTGCCGTGGCAGGGACACCTCTCGCTGTCCCAGGTGTTCCACGCCCTGTCCAGCCTGGCCTTGGGCACTGCCAGGGATCCCCAGCTGCTCTGGGCACCTGTGCCAGGGCAGGGTTTGTTCCCAACACCCCGTTTGCTCACCCTTGCTGCCCGCAGGAGCAGCCCAGGCTGCCAGCTGAGCTGCCCAAAGCTGCCCCTTTAGCAGAACACGGGACAAACGTGGCTGTGGGGGCTCCCTTAGGCTTCAGTGGCCTCACCCTGCTCGTGTCCCTCCCTCTGTGTCCCTCAGGAAAGCCATGCTCCTGCTGAAGAAGAAACGGTACCAGGAGCAGCTGCTGGATAGAACAGAGAACCAGATCAGCAACCTGGAGAGGATGGTGAGCCAGGCTGGGGCTCTGGGCTGGGGCTCCCCTGGAATTCCACTGCAAGCCACTGGCAGGTGTTCAGCCTCTGTCCAAGGGCAAATATCTCCAAAATTGTTGGTGTGCCATGATTTTCCCTGGAGACACAGAGTGGTGTGTTTGGGACCTGCAGGTTCCCTGCTGAAGGTGTGCTTTGGGAATTGCTGAGGCATTACTCACAGGGGATGGCTGCACTGGGGCCTTCCTGGCTCGTGCCAGCCCTGTCATTTCAGAGCTGGTGTGTTTGGGTTTGGGGAGGTCTCAGCTGGCACTGGCAGCTGGGAGATCCAGTGGAATCACCTCAGGGGCTGTTGGACCTGCTGGTGCAGCTGCCTGTGCTGAGCTTTTTGTGTGGATGTTTCCTGCTGGTGCCTCTGACAGCCCTGAAAGGGCTCCACTGGTTCCTCCTTGCAGCTGCTCTGGTGGTCCTGGCAGCCTGTGTGTGCCTAAGAGTGCCAGCCATGGAATCATTTGGTGGGAAGAGCCCTGTGAGCCCTGGCACTGCCCAGCACTGCCAGGGCCACCACTGTCCCCAGTGCCACGTGCCCATTTCTCTTGAATCCCTGCAGGGTTCCCAGGGCAGCCTGTGCCAGTGCTGGCCAGGCTGTGCCAGGCTCTTCCCTGTCCCCTTCCCACCGCAGGTCCAGGACATTGAATTCACCCAGATTGAAATGAAGGTCATCGAGGGCCTGAAAATCGGCAACGAGTGTCTGAACAAAATGCACCAGGTACCTGGGCTGGGCACTTCAGAGGGGCCTGGCTGGAGCTGCCTCCCTGCAGGCCCCTCCCACAGCTGGGTTTTGGCTCTGCCCTGCAGGTGATGTCCATAGAAGAAGTGGAAAGGATAATAGGGGAGACCCAGGATGCTGTGGAGTACCAGAGGGTGCGTGCATCGGGGGCTGGGAGCAGCCTGTGCCCAGAGCTGCTGGGTGGGCACTGCATCCAGCAGGCTGGGCTGTGATGGCTTCCCTCTCCCCCACAGCAAATAGACGAGCTCCTGGCTGGCAGCCTGACTGAGGAGGATGAAGATGCCATTCTAGAAGAATTAAATGCTATTACTCAGGTGGGGTTGATGTTTTTGTGGTTAAAATCCACGTTTTCAGCAAGCTGGTTTTAACAGCAGTTCAAGTTCCTTTCTGCTACTCCTGAGGAGGATGAAGATGCCATTCTAGAAGAATTAAATGCTATTACTCAGGTGGGGTTGGTGTTTTTGTGGTTAAAATCCACGTTTTCAGCAAGCTGGAGTTCAAGTTCCTTTCTGCTACTGTCAGAGCTCAGTCTGGGGGGAAATGTGGGACATTGCCCCCCCAGTGCTTGCCCATGCTCTGCTCTGTGACACGTGTGACTCATGGTCTGTAATGTCCCCACAGGAACAGTTGGAGCTTCCCGAAGTTCCCTCGGAGCCGCTCCCAGAGAAGATCCCAGGTATGTTCTCCTTGCACAGCTTTGGCTTCTGGTGCTCCTGTCCCCTGCAGTGCTCTGAGACCCTCTCCCCACGGAAGTGTCTTGGGAAATGGGAGGGGACAGCAGCTCCTGGAGTGGGGACAGCCCCAGCTGAGCCCTCGCTCCGGGAGCACCCCCGGCTCCGCTGGCTGTTCCATCAGCCTTGGGGAGCTCCTGTGTGACACCTGCTGCTCTTGTACCTCCTGTACCTGCTCTGAGGCAGCCTCCTGCCCTGAGACACCTCATTCAGCAGGAGGCTCCATGAGGAATTCCTTCCTTGCCTGAGCCAGGCAAGGCTTCCTCCCACAGCCCCGGGCCAGTCCTGTCATACAGCCCTGGGGGTTTTGTGGATGTTGGATTCACCCTGCACAACACTGGATTTCCCTGAGGCTTGGGATGGCTTGGAGCTCTTCCCACCTCACTTCCCAGTGGTTTGGAAGCAGCTGGATGAGGATCACTGGAGTCCCACAGTTCCAGGAGTGTCAGAGCATGCAGCTGGTGGTCCCTGAGTGTTCCTGAGCGATCCGAAGCCTCAGTGGATGGATTGTGTGGGAATGAAGCTGGGAAGTGGGACAGCTCACTAAGAAAGTCACCAAACAGGCCCTGGTGGCCCTGCCTGGCAGGGAAGGAGCCCACTGGGATTCATCAGGTCTCTGTTCTGAGAAGCTGAAAACTCAGACTGCTGAAGACTTTTCCTGGGACAGCAGAGCTGGAGCTCCCTGCTTGTGGAAAGAGGAGCTGGAAGAAGCCATTTCCCTGTGTGGAATCTGCCCAGGAGCAATCTGGGGTGTGGGGAATGGGGCTGGTTTCCTTGGAGCTTGTTTACTCCTAAACAGGGCTCAGATGTCAGCACTGAGGCCAAACAAAACACGGCCCAGGGTGAGGGCAGAGCTGGCCCTGCCTCTGCCCCTGCCCAGGATCTGTCCCTGGGCTGGGCGTGTTCTGAAAGTCTGTAATTCTTCAGTGCTGTGAGAAAAAGGGGGCATTTCCTCATGGGAACGTGGATTATTTCTAACCAATTTCTCTTAGTTCAGGTGCTGTGCAGAGTGGACTCTGAGCCCTGGATCCTCCTCAGGAGATGGCTGCAGGATATTTGCATTCCCTGATTCTGTAACAAGTTTCTTTTCCTTCCACAGAAGTGTCACCCATCAAGAACAGGCCAAAGCCAGAGCTGGTGGCAGCATCTTAACTCCCAGTGCTGGGGATTCCCCCACCAAACTTTCACCCTGGACAGTTTGCCCTCCCAGGGTGTGCTGGGAGCAGGCAATGCCTTGGCAGCATCCCAGCTGTGCTGGGTGGATTGTGGAGCAGGATTCCCTGCACAGGGTGGGGAACCTCAGCTGATTATCGCTCTTGTATCAAGATTATTTTCTAGTGCTTTCTTTTTTTGTAACTTAAATTCCAGACTCACTCAGCTGCGCTGTCTCGGGATTAAACAGCAACTCTAAATCATCCAAAGCCAAATTTTTCTCTGTAGGTTTGATTCTGGTGGTCAGTCTGCCTTTGCTCTGGCCAAACCCCTGGAAATCCCATGCTCAGGGTGAGCATGTTTGTGCTGGGCTGGGGGAGCACCAGCCCTGTGCAGCACTCTGGTGTCCCTGTCCCTCTGTCCCTTCTCTCTCCTGGGGCCATCTGTGCAGGGCTGGCCATGTCCCTGTCCTGCTGCACTGGCTCGTGCAGAACCAGCCCCAGGGGTTTGGTTTGGGCCAGGCTCAGGCTGGCTGCTCAGCCCTGCTCTGAGCTGCTGTGGGCTGAGCAGCCGGGCACGGTTCAGCCCTGGCACGGAGCCCCACAGAGCTGGGCAGTCTGGGCTGGCAGAAATCTCCTGCCATGCCAGCATGGAGCTCCTGGCAGTGTAGGAGCCAGCATTCCTCCCTGGTGGGCTCTGCTGCAGCGTCAGAGTTCAGCTTTGCCTGGGATGGATCCCACGGACTCTGCTCCAGTGCTCCTGGACGTTGCCTCGGGGACTCGGACACGTTTCCTTGTGCTGCTCTGGACTCGGGGCCTGAAGCTCCAGAAATCACCACTCCAAAGTGCTCTGGGAGCAGCTGCAGGGAGCCCCAAGCCCTCTGAGGACTCACTGGGATGCTGAAGGCTCTGGAACGCTGCTGACAGCCAGGTGGTGGCAGATTTGGCTGCTCTTGGAACGAGTTCACCTGCCAGCTTGCAGATGCTCTTCAGGACACTGCAGATCTTTATTTATTATGTTCTTGAAGCCACAGCCTTTAATCTGCATTTCTGCGACAGCAGAAGGACCAGAGGGTCTGGAGACTTTGTGGGGCTGTTGTTGGGGTTGTGGGATCTGGTGCTAGACAAAAAGTGATCCCAGGGACTGGGCCAGCAGCAGCTCTGGGTGGAGTCCTGCTCTCCATGTTGTGTTCCAAAGACTGGCCAGGGCATCCTCATCCTCCTCATGTGTCCCCAAGGCAGTGGGTGCCTTGGAGCCACCCCATTCCCAGTCCCTCTGCTGTGTCCTCACTAATGTTCCCTACCAACCCAACAGTCCCTGCCCTGTGTTTGACACCAGCACGGTGCTGGCAGAGCAGCTGCTGCCTCTGGAGCTGGCCAGGGCAGTGGATGGTCCCAGAGCCGTGGCTCTGGTCACCCCGGCTGCTGTGGGGACAGCCAGCTGCTGCTCCCAGCCCTCCCAGGCCAGGGTCCTGCAGTGCTCCCGGTGGTTCATTCTGTCTGCTCAGTGCCGGCTGTGCTGCAACGCAGCCCGTTCCCAGCAGAGAGAGCCTTGGCTTCACCAGTGCCGTGCTGGCAGGAGCATTCCGTTCCTTTTCCTTCAGGCTCCTTCAGCCCGGTGCCAGCGGGTGCTGGGCTGTTTAGCGTGGCCCTGGTTCATGTGCGGGGCACTCCCGGGAGGCTCTGGAAAGGATCTGTCCTGGGAGAGCAGCTTCCATTGCAGGTGCTTCGGGAACACCGTGTTCCCTGGGACTGGCATGGCCACGGGAGAGGCCCGAGGAGGGTGTGCTGCGGTCCCTCTGCTCTGGTTTCCTCTCTGATGAACAGGAGGGATGAGCCAGCCCTCCCAGGGACTCTGCCAGGGCCGGGCCGGGTGCTGGTGGCTGCACTCCTGGGTGTGAGAGGGAGCAGGGCTGGTGCTGAAGGGGTTAATGCAGCTCCTTCCATTGGCTGCCACACTGGAGGGGCCATTACTGATCCAGCAGGAAAGTTTGGAGCAGATTGGCCGCAGCTTCCTCTGCTGCTCCCTGCCCCAGCAGCTCCTGCCGGGTCTCCTCCTCGGGAGGAAGGGCCGGGGGCAGGCTGTGACCTCTGTCTGTGCTGTGACAATAAACTGCTGTGACAATAAACTGCTGTGACAATAAACTGGCTCCACCGACTCCTCTTCCAGCCCCGTGTTTGCACAGGGAGTGTTTTGGATGAGCAGGAGTTGCCTTCCTCCTCCCTGCCCTGCCTGCTCCTGGCAGAGATGTGGGCAGGAAATTTCAGAGCAGGCTCCGTGTGTGCCACAAACAGCCCTGGATGGCCCGGGAGGTGACAGTGCTGGGACAGTTCTGGTGTGCCTGGGGCTTTTGAGAGCCTCTGCCACTGCCCTCCCCTCCTTGGCTTTACAGCAAGGCCAAATTAGGGGATTTGTTAAGAATTACTCTGGAATTGTCAAACTGCTCCACGGGCACTCTGTGCCCAGACTCAGGGCTCACGTGGACATGTGGCTCCCTCCATTTCACCTCCCTCTGCAGGACTTTGTGCTCCCATCCCTGTGGAGTTGTCCAGCCAGCACCGAGCCCCCGTGTGTGACTGTCCCCCGTTTGCCGTGGGCACAGGGGCTGGGGACACCCCACGCTGCACCCGCTGCAGGGCGAGGCCCCAGCTGGGGCGTCCCTGCGCCTCTGGCTGTGCTTGGGCAGCAGCTGCTCCCTTGTTACTCTGCATTTTCGTCTCTCCTGCTGCTGGGAGCAGCGGGATGCCCCCAGACCCTCGGGGCGGCTCAGCCCCCCCGGCCCTGGGAAAGCAGCTGTGCCGGCTCTGGGGTGTTTAATTAGCACTCCCCGTGCCCCTCAGCTTGGCAGCGGGGTGGGAGCCAGCTCCCGCCGGGAGGGCTGCACACAGAGCTCCTCCAGCTGTGTTTGGGTTGGCCAGATGTTGAGCGTGGGGGCAGCGCTGCTTGCTGTTCATTGAACCCTGAGGGCAGGAACAAACCTCAGCTCCTGCCTCGGCTGCCCCCAGAGCCCTCCCTGGATCCCCCAGCCCTGGCATGGCCTGGCATGGCCTGGCCCCTCTGGAGAGGTTGTGGCACTGGACAATGCCCAGGGCAAACCTGGGGGCAGGCACAGCCGTGTGACAGTGACAGGGACTGCAGCGTCCCAGGACACTCACTCCTCCTGGATCTCGGTGCTGTTCCCAGCACTGGTGTGGCTCTGTGGGATTCCCGTGCAGGGGAAGGGGAGAACGAGGAGCTCTGCTGGGAGAGCCTTCATCCCCCAGCCCGAGCAAGGTCTGAGACAGGAGCAGGAATTCCAGCCAGCGTTATGCAAGCAGCAGTGCCTTTAAATAGATTCCTATTCCCTGTTGTCCAGGAGGCAGCTGGGCACCAGCACCGCTCCCTGGGGCTGTGCTGGGCCCTCCCCAGCCACCCCCAGCCCTCCGTGTGCCCCCGGCTGACACCAGGCAGGGTCGGGGCACAGGCCGGGAGCTGCCTCCCCTCCTCAGCAGCCTCTTCCCGGGGCTTAGAGGGAATTGTGTAACGGGAGGCGGTGGCAGAGCCCTGGCAGTTTCCATGCCAACACAGCTGGATGGCGCTGCCGGGGACGGGCTGCCAGCCCCCCCAGAACAGCTGAACCCCGACACGGCTGCACCCCGACACAGCTGCACCCTGACACGCTGTCATGCTGTTTCCTGGAACACCCATGGAGAAACCAAACAGAGCTGGGAACCCCGGAGGTGTCGGATCCATGGCCTCTCATCTGGGTCCTGCTGCTTTTTGGCACAAGGGGCTCAGAGGCCCTGGGGGCTTTCCCTGTCCCCCCTCAGCTCCCCCCCAGGGGAATGAGCTCACAGTGTCCCTTGTCCCCCACCCTCCCCGGCAAACCCTGACTCAGAACCAAGCACAGTTTGTGGGATCTTTCATCCTCCTCCTCCTCCTCCTCCTCTTCATTATCCACACCCTGAGCTCGCCCTGCCCTGCGTGGGGTTCCAGGGGCTCAGGGGCACTGCCAGGGTGCTGCATTCTGCACCCAAACCCTGCAGTGCCACCCCCATCCCAGCTGCCCACTGGGACCCACTGGGAGCCAACCTTGGCTCCCTCCCTTTCCCCCTTCCGTATTTCCAGTGCCCTGGTGTCACGCTGAGTCACCAGCAGAGTAGAAGAGGCTTTGGCAGGGAACAAGCCCAAGTTTTGATAGTTCAACTGTGAGAGGGAAAAAAAAAAATCAGCGTAATTTCCTAATTAGAGCAGGGCTGGGAACAAAGCGGGTCTGTCCGAGCGCGGCGCGGCCACGGCCCGGAATGTGACCTTTGCTGGCTGCTGTGCCAGACGGGAGCTGCCACTGCTTGGCAGGGCCGAGGTGCCTGAGCAGGGCTGGGATTCCTCAGAGGGCTGAGGTGCCTCGGCAGGGCCTGCTCTGACGTAGGAGCCCAAATTCCTGCTCCTGGGGGATGCAGACCCCTGGCGATGGGTGGAAGGAGCACTGGGAGGTGGCACTTGTCCTCGTGTCACCACTTTTGCTGCCCTGCCCTGCCCTGCCGTGGAATGTGGCTCCTCAAGTCCTGGGTGAAGCTGTGGCCACGCTGGGTGTCCCCGAGGGCCAGCGCTGCCACGTGATGGGTGTCCCCAGCCCGTGTCCCCAGCCCGTGTCCCCAGCCCCTGTCCCCATCCCCTGTCCCCAGCCCGTGTCCCCAGCCCATGTCCCCATCCCCTGTCCCCAGCCCGTGTCCCCATCCCCTGTCCCCAGCCCGTGTCCCCATCCCCTGTCCCCAGCCCGTGGCAGAGCCGTGCCAGGCTGCCCCGGGCTGGCTCCGTGATTAATTAGCGAGAGAGGAAATGAGAGGAGAGCAGTGCCCGGGCTGGGCTGAGCTCTGAGAGGAGGAGCCGTGTCCCTGTGGACAGGCTGGAGGTGCCGTGCGGGGAGCTGGGTGGCCTTGGCGCTGCAACAGGAGCTGGGGAGTTGGCACCGTGTCCTTCAGGCCTGAGATCCAGCGTTTTGCTGCTTCCCAGAGCTGGGATGGGCAGCCACGGCCCAGGAGTGGTCCTGGGACAGGAAAACGTGCCCGAGGGGGCTGTGGGCTGTGACCAGCCCAGTGCCAGCTTGAGGACAGAACGGGGGACACGGGCAGGGGGTGGCAGGACCAGAGCAGCAGGACCTGAACCTGTCCCTTCTGCCACCTCTCTGTGACCGGCTGGTCCTTCCCAGGGCTGGGCAGGGGGGAGGCAGCTCCAAGGTGCCCAGAGCCCCCCAAGGTGCCCAGAGCTCCCCAGGGTGCCCAGCGCTCCCCAGGGTGCCCAGAGCCCCCCAGCAGCACCCTGGCTCTGCCCCGGACGCTTCCCCGAGCTCAGCAATGTGATGCAAAATCCCATCATACCAATTATGCAAATCGCATAAACTATTCCTGTTATTCAGAAGGATCCCCAGAGAGCTCCTTAGCGCTGTAATTCAGCATTACTCACTCGTGAAACAGGCGCTGGGGCAGGTGAGGAGGGACAGGGCTTGGGCTGTGCCCCAGCCCGGCAGTGAGGGGGACCCGGAGCATTTTGGGGGCTCCCCCAGAACACACAGCTCTGCTCCCCAGCCCCAGGGGCCATGGCACAGGTTGGATTTGCTGTGGAGCCCTCCCAAGCCCCAGGGATGGCAGTAGGGATTTGTCCAACTGTGGCAGGGCCAGGGCCAGCCCTGCTGCCCCTTCCCCTCGTGCAGCAGCCAGAGCCTCCCTGCATCCCTCATTCCCTCCTTGCATCCCCCATTTTCTCTCTGACTCCCCCATCCCCATCCTGCATCCCCCTTTCCCACCCTGCATCCCCCATTCCCTCCCTGCATCCCTCATTCCCCGGTGCCTCCATCTTCCCCGGCCCGGCGCAGCACCCGCAGCGCTTTGTTCTCCCACCCACTCCGTGCTTCCCGTCATCCCGGCTCCTCCCCGTGCCTGCGGGAGCCTCCCGGGAGAGCCGGGGCTGCTCCGTGAGCCCGGCCCTGGCAGGGCAGGGGACAGCAGGGGACACTGGCAGGGCTGTCCCCAGTGAGCCCGGCCCTGGCAGGGCAGGGGACACTGGCAGGGCTGTCCCCGGCCGGGCCCGGGCAGCCAGGGGGACGCTGCTGGCACCAGGAGTGTCCCAGCCCTGCCCACCAGGGCTGCCTGCAGCCCACGGGCACGGGGGTCCCTGTGGGCACTGCCATCGTGCCCCCAGGGATGGCACCCAGTCCCCAGGCTCTGCAGCCCTCGCCGTGGCAGGGCCAGAGGGTGACACGTGTGTCACACCAGGGAGCAGAACTGTCCCCGAATCCCTGGGCACAGCAGCTTGCACTGCTGGGAGTCTTGCTCAGCTGCTGCTTCCAACGGGATTTAGGGAAACCCTGGGATGACGAGAGGCTCAGTACTTTGTCTGCCTCAGTTTCCCCTTGGTGAAATCAGCCCACCCCACTTTGTGAGTCCCACTCTCCCAGCTGGAATCGGGGTCCAGCACTGCAGCTTCCAGCCTGCAGAAGAAGGGCCTGGACTGCTCATCCTTGGCTAATCCCCAGGAAATGGCTTTGCTGGGTTTGCTGGGCAGGATTTAACTGCTGGGAGCTGCTGGCACATGTGGGACACCTCCAGCCCAGGGACAGCTGCTGAGTCCTGGCCCCTTGATGGTTCAGGGACCAGCTCCCAGCAGCACCAGCAGTGACAGAGCCCTGGAATGGGCTGGGCTGTGTCTCAGGTGTAGCTGGGTGTGTGTTCAATCCCATCTGTCAGAGGTGGGGCAGTTATCTTCTGTCAATTGGGCAGTTTTCTTTATCTCTTCCACACCCAATCCTCCCTCCAGGAGACATCTTCTGTTAATGGGCCATTAATTATTAATTCTCAACTGTTCATGGCCACTGAGTATCCCTGCCTGGCTGATCAAATTCCATCATCCCATGGGGAGATGCTCTGCCCAGGGCAGGAGCCAAGCATTCCTACCTGGACACAATCTGAGCCTAGAACAGCACAGCAGCCTTTGCCCCCTGCATTCCCAGAGGAGCAGCTTTCTCCTGCCCTGCATTCCCAGAGGAACACCAGGCCCATCTCCAGCAGCCCTGGAGCTCCAGAGGAAAACTCCCCCCTTGTGCAGGATCCCTGCTCCAGCAGAAGCACAGCTGGCACTGCAGGAGGGCTGAGCCCCCATGGGATG